AGACAACTGTAGACCAATGCAAACCAACAGAACCCAGAAACTCAAAGGAAAACACAGCGTGATGTTACAAGTAAAAACAGCGGGTGAGACTCCTACCTTCCGTGAATTAATAACTCTTGAAATGGAGTGGCGAGTACATGGGGTTTCATCACGCTCATTTCTCAACTTTAAATCTGTTTGAAATTTTCTGTAATAAAAAAATTTTTTGGCCGGGCGCGGTGACTCAAGCCTGTAATCCCAGCACTTTGGGAGGCCGAGACGGGCGGATCATGATGTCAGGAGATCGAGACCATCCTGGCTAACACGGTGAAACCCCGTCTCCACTAAAAAATACAAAAAGCTAGCCAGGTGAGGTGGCGGGCGCCTGTAGTCCCAGCTACTCCGGAGGCTGAGACAGGAGAATGGCGTGAACCAGGGAGGCAGAGCTTGCAGTGAGCTGAGATCCGGCCACTGCACTCTAGCCTGGGCAACAGAGCGAGACTCCGTCTCAAAAAAAAAAAAAAAAAAAAAATTTTTTAAACAGACGCAAAGGAGTATGAAGATTTTTTAAACAGACGCAAAGGAAAGATGTTAACATTTATTATGTCTTTATGCTTGATTGTAATACTTGATAATTAAAAGGAAGTTGATATAAAAAGAAGGCTTTCTAGCTGGGGAGGGTGACTGCACCCACCTTTAAATACGGGGCCTGTAACTCAGCTCACACCCAACCAATCAGGTAGTAAAGAGAGCTCAGTAAAATACCAATTAGGCTAAAAGCAGGAGGTAAAGAAATAATCAAATCATCTATCACCTGAGAGCACAGGGGGAGGGACAATAATCAGGATATAAACCCAGGCATTTGAACCAGCAGTGGCAACCCCCTTTGGGTCCCCTGCTGTTGTATGGGAGCTCTGTTTTCACTCTATTAAATCTTGCAACTGCAAAAATAAATAAATAATAAGTAAGTAAATAAATATAAATAAATACATAAAAGAAGGCTTTCCACTTATGATGGTGAAGGGAAAAGTAGATGGTGTTCTAATGTTATGTGTAGCACCTGCCATGTAGAGTCAGGGAATTTGTTTTCCAGGTGAGGTTCCTGGCTAGCTCTAAGATTCTTTAATTCTATGAGGGATAAAGCTTTTTAGATGTGTTTCTCCCCATCATGCCAGGAAAACCTGGCAGAAGCCATAAGTTCCCTAATTAAATCAAAGTACCAATGTTACAGTTGAGTTAGATCTCCCTCCCTGACTCTCCACACACACTATTGGTTGGATACTGTACTGTTGAAATCCCCACGCTGATTCCAGTTTCGACTTAGCTGAATTGGATGTGGTCAATAAAAGGTTGCACCATAAGCTAAAGTAGAAAGGTAAAGTGATTTAGGCTGCTCTTCCGTGTTTTGAAAGTCAGATTGACTCAACAGGAGTTTATACTTAAATACATTTTAAATTAGGTGCTCAGGATTTTATAAGCACCATGGAAGAATCAAAAGAAATGTAAGACAGTTTTGCACTGAGAAACTTAGGCTGAGTGACCAACTCACATAAAATTATTAGTCATCCACCTGAGGCAGAATAGGATGAAACACTAAAGAGCACAGTTTAAGACAAGACCCAGGTCAGCCAGTAGATGGGGAAAGGAGAATGGCACAATGGAATGAGGAGGAGGTAGAAATGGGTTATGAAAGATGGATTGACCTGAGAGGGAGGAGTGGGAGGTGAGTAGAGTGTTGGGTACAAAACCTTGGGATAGTTGTTGTAAAGGAAAATGGAAGAAAGCTCATTAAAAGGAAGAAATGGAAAATGATAAGTAGAAGTGGTGATTACAGGTCCCAGTGAAACAGGAAATCAAGGTTCCAAACTAGAAGTGGAATGATGAGCTTTCAGGAAGGAGTTAAGAATCAGTTCTCCCAAGCCTGCAGGAAGAAAGAAAGGAAAGAAATAAGAGGTAATACACACTGAGGAAGAAAGTGTCTAGGGCAGCTCACACAAGATGGCCTTAACTATTGTCCATTACAAAGGCTCTGAGATCACCGCCTAAACATAGTGGGAAGAGAGAGTACAGGCTTGGGGAGAAAGGAGCCAGTCTAGACAGAGGTCAACCATAGGGTGCATACCAGATTATAGAGGACACATAAATAAAGACCCACTGAGAAGCAAGAAGGCCAGATCAAAACCAAACCTGCAGTCATCTTTTATTCAACCGTGTTTATTGAACACCTGTCATCATTCTTCCATTCAACAGACATTTAGTTATCACCCACTGTGTGTCACATGCCAAGGCAAATCTACTTGCAAAGAATGCAGAGTCTATTAGAAGAGAGAGACATGTATGCAGTCAAGTCTAACCTTAGTGCATTCAGAGTAACGCCTGCTGTAATGAAGGTTCATCTAGATACTGTTGCTGGCACATAGTAAACAGTGAATTCAAGGAAGACCTCACAGACCAAGCCCTAATAGAGGTGGACCTTAAGGAATGGGGAAAGAAGAAGAAAGGGTGGGAAAAGATGGTCCATGCAGAAGGAATAAAAGTAGTGTGTGAGAGAGCATGCCATATATGGGGAGGTTTTGAGTGACCTGGTAGGTAGAAGAATATGGGAGTTGGAGGAAGAATACAGACAATAGGGTGTTTACCTAATGGATCTTACTGCCAGCATTCTTAATGCAAAGAAACAAAATTGGCAGAAATATAAACACATGTGGACAGAACAGTCTTTACCTACTTAACACAAGAGTGTAACATTGATCGCTCTTAAATTCTGCTTTATGTTCCTATAGTGAGTTTTAATATACTAAACTACCCTTGAGCATTATGAGTGCTTGCAAATATCAGTACAGTATTGAGAAACATAAATATGCTCATTTTGAGTCCATTTTCGGTATCTGTTTCTATTTGGGGCTCATTTTGGAGAACTGGTTTTGGAACATCTCACTTCCATATCATACAAAGTAGCTTGGAAGGAAACACTGCTCTCCTCTTGCTATAATTTCCTCCAACCAGAAGAAAGATCAGTTTTGTTTTGTTTTTCTTAAGACAGGGTCTTGCTTTGTTGCCCAACCTGGAGTGCAGTGGTGCAAACACCGCTCACTGTAGCCTCCACCTCCTGGGCTCAAGTGGTCCTCCTTCCTTAGTCTCCAGAGTAACTAGGACCACAGGTGCACACCACTAAGCTTGGCTAAGTACTTTTTGGTTTAGTTTTTTTTGTTTTTGTTTTTGTTTTTTAAGAGAGAGGGTCTTGCCATGTTGCGTAGGCTGGCCTCAAACTTCTGGGCTCACACAATTCTCAGCCTCCCAAAGTGCTGGAATTACAGATATGTACCACCACCCTTGGCCAGTTTTACTTTTTGTCCTCACTAAACAGCAGATTTTTTCTACTTACTGAAATGTATCTGTTTCTGAAATATTGTTACTTATATGGGATTTTAAAAACAGATGCCTGTTAATTTCTATAATCAAAATAAGGTATTTAAACCTCTACAGGGCCTGTCTTGGCACTTTCTGAAGATTGAGAACATAGATTATGCATCCTGGCCCTTTTCCAAAAACTGCCCTCGAGAAGTTATGCACAATTTATTTTTATGTTAGTCCCCAGGAATAGAAGTTGTCCAGGCCACTCCATCACACTCTTCATAATACTTGTAATTTAATGCCGGGCACTTCAGTTAACAACATGAGCAGAATTATGCTGTGGTAATTGTGGAGGTGTGTGGCAAAGCAGCTGATTGTAAAATTTTAATCCACTCTAAATATGCACCCTTACTCAATTAGCCTCCGATTCTTTGTGGCCTTTTGGAAAATGTATTCAGTATGTAAAGTTTTTAGAAAAAGCATTCTGAGATCTTCCTTTTCATTCAAGCCCTGTTTTTTTTTTTTTTTCCCCCTTCCCAGCACATGACTTTTGTTATTCCAAGAATTGATACTGGAAACCACATTTATTGGAAAGATAGAACAATGGTATCAGTTAATTCTGGAAAAACAGTAGATGTCACATCAGATGTGCCCTGGAGAGTAAGGTTATACAGTTTGTATTTTTTCTGGTTCTAAATCTGAAGATATTATTTTCTTTTTCAGTTGAACCCTGGGTGGCCCCATCTAACACTTTCGGATTTCAGCTGACTTTTATTTCTATTGTATTTGAATGAAGAATCAGGAAATTCTATTGGGATTACATTATCTTATGGTTATGTTGAGATTACGAGAGACACCACTTACGCTACTACATACATTTCGAAATGATGTTTTTAGGTTTTCTGTTCTTTGTGAGCCTCTTCGTGTGTCTCTTTCATGACTTGCATGTGAGACAGCTGAGGAAGAAACAATCTATATGTCGTTTCTCAGTCTATACTTCCTTTGGCATTTATACAATGCTTAAATATACTGAAACATGATGTTTTTTAAAAAGTGTCCGGGGGCAGGAAGGAGGGGAAGAAATAGTAAGTAAGATCAGTATATGCAGGGCACTGAGCCAGATGCTGGGGAGGTTACAAAATGAATTATAGGCTCTGCCCTGGAATAGAAGGTAACATTAGACAAAGAAGCAAACTCACAAGTTAGTAAGATCAGGACAGAAAGTGTTAAAATGCAGATAAGTGAGGCTAGTCGGCACTACCAGGGGAAGTCACTGTGGCCTGAGTGTTTATGCTTTTGGAGGAAAAGAGACAGATCTCAACAGCTAGGGGTGCCCCCTACACACTGACAAAGCTTTGCCTGCCCCTGGGTGTGTGTCAGCTCTCAGTGGAGATACCAGTATCCACTGTGCCTTGTGGGTCATTATTTTCTGTTTGATAAGAAATTGTTTACTTTGGCAAAAACATGCTTATACACTTAACGTGCCTGTCTTACCTCTTTTGTGGTAAATGAACCAAATTGCATTCTCATGTTTTCTGTTTGACAGTGACAGCTGTGCCAGATTCAATTCAGGCCCCTCGGACTTGTGAACACTTGTGATTTTCATTTATCCTCAATATATCATTCTTAGAGAAGATCAGCCTTACCCATGTTATTTCCTTTTTCAGACAAATGGACACCTACCTGGGAACGGAGATGTGTATCAAGAAAGGCTGGCACGTTTAGAAAATGATAAAGAATCCCTCGTTCTTCAGGCAAGTGATTTTTAAATACTGTTCTTTCCTTGCAGCATACTTACAAAGACTTTTAAATTGGGGTGGCAAATTCAGATTGCTTGCAGCAACCAGACTGCTAACAGAAATAAGCCTGGTAAACCACCTGTGCACAATAGGGAGTGGTGAGGATTGGGGCAGAATGATGGTGTTTACGCCCAGTTTAAAAGGAGCCGCCATTCATCATCCTCAGCTCTTCCAGGGCCAGTCTGAATACAGGCACAATGTTGTCTGATCTGTTCTAAAATTCAGATATATGAATATAGCATAAAATCTGAATATATGTAAGTTTATATTTCTGAATCTGCAATCTGAGTATATATATTTAATTTTTCAATTTTAAAAATGATAACCTGTGTGAGACAAAACAGTGAGTAGAATCCTCCCTGTGGGCTAAATTTGAGTTTGCTTCTTCATAATGTTTTAAATGCTTGACAAACATTTTTCTTTGGTATATTGAGCAAAATGAACTGAAGTATGTTTTTCTTTGGTATACTGAGCAAAATGAATTGAAGTATATTTACTGGGTGATGATTATTGAGGAAAATCTCGGAGATCGGCTCTAAGCACTAGAGTTGAAGGACTAGCCCAACAGCTCCTCATGGACCTTTGAGTATATTGAGCTGCCCCCTGCCTTTGAACACATCTGTGATCAGTGTCATCTTCAAAGAGCTCATGGAATTTGAATTCCCTGGGTTTTGTGTGTGTGTGTGTGTTTTTGTTTTTTGTTTGTTTGTTTGTTTGTTTGTTTTAAGATGGAGTCTCGCTCTGTTGCACAGGCGGGAGTGCAGTGCAATCTTGGCTCACTGCAACCTTCACCTCCTGAGTTCAGGCAATTCTTCTGCCTCAGCCTCCTGAGTAACTGGGATTACAGGCACATGCCCCCATGGCCAGCTAATTTTGTATTTTTAGTAGAGACAGAGTTTCGCCATGTTGGCCAGACTGGTCTTAAACTCCTGACTTCAAGTGATCTGCCCACCTCGGCCTCCCGAAGTGCTGGGATTACAGGCGTGAGCCACCGTGCATGCTCCCCGCCCACCCCCTGGGGTCTTTTTCTTATTCTTCCTGAAGTATCAAATTTTAATAATTTCTTTATAATTTCTATTTCAAACATTAACTTTGTTTCCTCTTTTCTAATACTATCTCCACCCTGTCCCCCAAAAAGAGAACTTCTGTGCACACTCTCTCTCATAAATGGTTGAAGTAGCTTTAACCAAAAAGTATTGTACATTCCTAATCTACACAAATTTTCTCCTTAATAGGCCTCCTTAAATCAAATAGCAACATATAAATAGGAATGCAAGGGACCACTGTCTTCTTGGTACTTCTCATTTTTTTTTTCTTTAAAACCATATGAGTGGTAGGATCATTCCTTTTATTGTTCCATTTAGAGAAATAATGTATGCAGTGGAACCCAAGTTCTTTTTCACTCATTGCATGATTTTGCTCTAAATACAGGTAAGTGTGTTAACAGACCAGGTGGAGGCTCAGGGAGAGAAGATTCGAGATTTGGAGTTTTGTCTTGAAGAGCACAGAGAGAAGTTGAATGCCACAGAAGAAATGCTGCAGCAGGTATGTGCAGAGGCCAGAACCAAGATGAGATTTCCCTGCTGAATTATTTCAGATGCTGCGTTTCTGTGCTGTGTTTGCTCTATGCAGCAGTAAGTTTCTTGATTCACTTAGACCAGCACATTTTAAAAAAACGAGAGTAGCAGAGTCTCAAAACACATGCACACAATAGAAAGTGTTTATGTAATGAGAATCTGGAACAAAATGTCAGTAGTATTGTGGCTTATTTTAATTTTCTTTTTTTGCATTCAGGTGGTTTCCTCTCACCCATAAGTATATGTTTTATAATTAAGAAAAAATATAATAGTAAAAAATCTAATAATCCAATTTAAAAATGGGCAAAATAATAGACATTCAAATAATAGACATTTCTCAAAAGAAGACATACAAATGGCAAACAGACATATGAAAAGGTACTCAGCGTCATTGATCATCAGAGAAATGCAAATCAAAACTGCAAGAAGATACTATCTCACCCCAGCTAAAATGGCTTTTATCCAAAAAACAGGCAATAACAAATGCTGACAAAGATGTGAAGAAAAGGGAACCCTTGGACACTGTTGGTGGGAATGTAAATTCGTACAACTGCTATGGAGAACACTTTGGAGGTTCCTCAAAAAACTAAAAATAGAGGCCGGGTGCGGTGGCTCATGCCTGTAATCCCAGCACTTTGGGAGGCCGAGGCGGTTGGATCATGAGGTCAGGAGATCGAGACCATCCTGGCTAACACAGTGAAACCCCGTCTCTACTAAAAATACAAAAAATTAGCCAGATGTGGTGGCAGACTGCTGTAGTCCCAGCTACTTGGGAGGCTGAGGCAGGAGAATGGCGTGAACCCGGGAGGCGGAGCTTGTAGTGAGTTGAGATCGCACCACTGCACTCTAGCCTGGGCAACAGAGTGAGACTCCATCTCAAAAAAAAAAAAAAAAAAACTAAAAATAGAGCTACCATACAATCCAGCAATGCCACTGCTGGATATATACCCAAAGGAAAGGAAATCAGTATATCGAAGAAATATCTGCGCTCTTGTGTTTGCTGCAGCTCTGTTCACAACCACCAAGATTTGGAAGCAACCTACATGTCCATCAACACATGGCTGGATAAATAAAATATGGTACTTATACACAATGGAGTACGATTCAGCCATAAAAAAGAATGAGATTCAGTCATCTGCAACAACATGAATGGAACTGGAGGTCATTATGTGTAAAATAAGCCAAGCACAGAAAGACAAACATCTCATGTTCTCACTTATTTGTGGGATCTAAAAATAAAACAATTGAACCCATGGAGATAGAGAGTAGAGGGATGGTTACCAGAAGCTGGGTAGGGTAGTGGGGGATGAAGGGAGAGGTGGAAGATGGTGAAGGGGTACAAAATAATAGTTTCCATGAATAAGGCCTAGTATTTAGTAGCACGTCAGGGTTACTATAGTCAATAATAATTTAATTATATGTTTGAAATTAAGAATATAACTGGATCGTTTGTAACACAAAGGATAAATGCTTGAGAAGATGGAGACCCCATCTTCCATGATGTGATTATTACACATTGCAAGCCTGAATCAAAACATGTACCCCATGAATGTATATACCTACTATGTACCCACAAAATTAGAAAAGAAAATATCTCTGTAAGGTCGTGGATGGAGTATGCACTTGAGCAAAACCTCCTAGGTTTCCATTCCTGCTGTGTCTTTATTTTTTATTTTTCCCTCTATGACATTAGGGAAGTTCCTAACCTCTCTGTACTATGTTTCCTCATCTTTTGATTAAGGATAATAAGAATTTTTACCTGATAAATTTTTTATGAGGATTGAAACAATATTTGTTATAACTGGTGCCTGGCATATAGCAAACATAGTATCACCATAATCAATGTTATCATCACACTGAAGTGTATATGTGGTTTATGCATGTGTATCTACATAACATATGTCTCCGTCAGTAAACTGACATGTGCTTATTTCTGCTTAAAGGAGGGTAACTAAAGTGGATGGTTTTTTATTTTATTTTATTTTGTTTTATTTTTGAGATGGAATCTTGTTGCCCAGGCTGGAGTGCAATGGCGAGATCTCGGCTCACTGTAACCTCCGCCTCCTGGGTTCAAGTAATTCTCCTGCCTCAGCCTCTTGAGTAGCTGGGATTACAGGCACCCGTCACTATGCCCAGCAAATTTTTATATTTTTAGTAGAAACAGAGTTTCACCATACTGTCCAGGCTCATCTCAAACTCCTGACCTCAAGCGATCTGCCCGCCTCGGCCTCCCAAAATGCTGGGATTACAGGCGTGAGCCACCACGCCCAGCCTCCAGTGAATAATTTTTTAAAAGTGTGTATATTCAGTAATTATATTTTACCATATCCTCCACTTAATAGATGCTGCTTTGTGATCATAAATGAGGTAAATTCACATGTGGCTGTTTATAATAAAAGAATTATTGAATGTATCTCTTAAATTCCAATAGGAGCTTCTAAGTAGGACATCCTTAGAAACTCAGAAGTTGGATCTGATGGCTGAAATATCTAACCTGAAGTTGAAACTGACGGCTGTAGAGAAGGACAGATCGGATTATGAAGATAAGTTCAGAGACACAGAGGTGAGTGATACAGTCTCTCCTCTCTCTCTCTCTGTCACTCTGTCTCTGTCTCTCATACACATGCATTCCTAGAGCAAAGTTGAAATTCCCTGGAGGTGTGCAAGGCATTACTACATGCCCTCATCCTGCTTCATTTTAAGAATAATCTTTCATTGCGTTGACTTTTTATCACTAAATGCTAATGGCAATGTTTATTTTTAGCCTTTTGATATGATATATTAATCCTTTTATTAACCTTTAGAAATACTTTTGACTTTAGGATATTTGGAGCATCCGTCCATCCATGCTGGTTTTCTTAATTTTGTAAATAATGGGCTTAAATGCATGATTTCACTAGTAGTTATTATTTAGGCACACTGATTATTTACTATGTAATTGGATTTTGAAAATCTGTATAGAAAACATGCTAACATTCTATACTCACAAAATCACAGAGCTTTTTTGAAGTCTTTTAATTTGGCCTTCTACTTTTGATCTATTTCGCATGTAAATCATTCCAATTAAATAAGACTCGCTGTACTTCTGCAAAACTCAGGGTACATTCTATAACTTGAAGTATCCATTTTAGGGCTTAACAAGCTTTATTGTTTGTTCTATTTTATTAATTCAGGCCTTCTAGTTTATTTGCTGTGTGACGTTTGGCAAGTTCTTAACCTCTCTGTTGGTTTTTGGTGGAGAGAGAGAGCATATCCATTTGAAATATATTCATTTGAAATGAAGTGTAAAGAGTTGCAGAAATTCCTTTTCTCTGAGGGCCATCTCCCCTCCTTTTTTCTTCCTATATTGTTTCCTTAGTTGGAGTATGGAAAGGTGTCATGCTGGATTAGAAAATAGGTACCAAGGAGAGAGGAGAGAAAATGGCTTACTTATTTTTCCCTTCTGTTTTTATTTCAAACATGTATTTCATGCAGACTATAAGCCAGCATGGTACCAGGCATTACATACATTATCCACTAGAGGAAAGTTCTTTATAGATTTGGAAATGCGTTTTACTCCACTGCTATTTTCAAAATTAAATTTTCTGTGAAAGATTCAATTATAGTGGAAAGTCTTGATATATGTCTTGCTTCCTGGATAGCAAAAGGAAATCTTTCATTTGGTTCATGTTTTAATTTTTCTTTTTCTTTTTTTTTTTTTTAGAAATAGGATCTTACTGTGTTGCCCAGGCTAGCCTGGAACTCCTGGCCTCAAGCAATTCTCCCATTTTGGCCTCCCAAAGCACTGGGATTAGAGGCATGAGTCACCATGCCCAGCCATGTTTTAATCTTAAATCTCTTTGTCAGTCGCCTATATGAGCATGTTTCTCATTTGATCAAAACTGGGGCTTTTAAAACAAGATGTAGAAAGTCACCCAATTTAAAATTCTTGCTTTTGTGCTTTCTCTAAAAATCTGTTCTGATATTTTCCTCTTCCTCCTCTTTTTGTCAGGTCCTAACCCCATAGTCGCTAAGTAAGGTAATAGTAAAACTCAGTCAACAGATGGACAACATGGCAGTGGAGCTAGCTCTGCTTCAGGGAAGAATTGGTGGTAGATGTGGATAGAGGTAGTCTTCTACATTGTGTCTGCAAAGTCAAGGGGAAATCTTCATCTGTTGTTAGCTTAATTTGGATATGAGATGTTAACCAAGTGTTGGGACTGAATTGCAGTAGATGTGTCATTTATTTTTGTAAGAGGCCAGGGCAATATTTATATCCCTTGAGTTTGGCAGCTTTTTTTTATCAAACTTTTTTTCCCCACTTTTTCTTTGTTTCACTCATGCACTCTTAATCATATACAAAGAGATCTTGTCATCAAACTTCCAGTACACTCAATCCCTGATAATCTTCTAATAAAAATTCAGTGTTATTTCTAAAACGTATGCACATACCCAGAGATTAGAGCATATGTGGTAAACTTTGTGATGTTACATATGAAAATAATTAAAATAATCTTCACTATTAAACTAACTTGAATATTCTCATGTTCCTGTTATCGTTCCCTTAATAAAAATATTTTCCTGGCTGTTCCCTGCATCCATAATATTTAACTTTCTCTTAGAATTTTAGATTATTTGGATATTAATTTCCAAGAAAATATTGGCATGGGGAAGAAGTATAGGCATTTCCAAAGGACTGAGGGTAAAAGTCTTTTAAACTTTGGAAGATTCAGAACTTGTCCCTGGACTTGCTAATGGGAAATGATTAGCATCTTTCGACAGTGCCCCCTTGTGGTAAGAGCATACATGTCAGAGACTGAGTTCCTGCGGGAGCCCTAAGGAGTTCTCTGAAAGGGAAAAGGGAAAGGGAACAGGGATTTTGTTTCTTAAAAGGACTGAACTTCTAATGAGAACTTGATTGAAATAATTTGTATTCTGTTTTTTAAAGTTTTACATTAGGGAGCCATTTCTAGATTTTCCAGCTTGTGTTGTCAGGGGAAGGTATGATTTCAGGTTGGAAATGTAGACCATATTTAAAGTATTGCCATGAAATATAGTTGAGTAGTTTTTGTTAAAACAGATAAATTATCCCAGTTTACAATTCCGTTTTTTTCAATGGTTTCTTCTTTGCACATTGGCACTATTTCTAAAGGAAGGGGTAAAATACAACAATAGCAGGTAAGAATTCAATGCTATTTCTTAGCAATGAGAAAGTAGGAAAATATATATTTAAAAAGATCATATTGGTGAATATCACTAAGGACTCATATTATGCAAGGATGATTAGTTTCGATAACTGGGAAAAGCTTATTTTTATTTATTTATTTATTTTTTTTGAGACGGAGTCTTGCTCTGTCACCCAGGCTAGAGTGCAGTGGCCGGATCTTGGCTCACTGCGAGCTCCGCCTCCCGGGTTCAGGCCATTCTCCTGCCTCAGGCTCCCGAGTAGCTGGGACTACAGGCGCCTGCCACCTCGCCCGGCTAGTTTTTTGTTTTTTTTTTTTTTTAAGTAGAGATGGGGTTTCACCGCGTTAGCCAGGATGGTCTCGATCTCCTGACCTCGTGATCCGCCCGTCTCGGCCTCCCAAAGTGCTGGGATTACAGGCTTGAGCCACCGCGCCCGACCGAAAAGCTTATTTTTTTCTTTAAACTTGATTTCTGACCTGTTAGATGAGGAATCACAAATATGTTACTGAATAATGTCAAACAGTTCTTGACCTAATTCATAAGAAGAAAGTAGATATCATCTAAGTGAAATATTGTGCCATTATTAAGGAGTAATTGTATAACTATGATAGGTAATATTTTGCCCTATTTTATAAGAGACCACAGTTTAAAAGCCTGTGGGTTTACTGGAAAGTGTATTTCATTATAGCATCCCTTCTCTTAGCCTTTGTGAACTTGGATCATTACACTTGGAAGCTTAAAATAATTTCTATTTACAAAGTTTTATTTCCTTATAGCATTGTTCTACTTGTAATTTTTGGCATTCTTGGACAATTTTGTCCTGTAGTCTATGAATTTGTGAACCAGGAATACATGCATGTCTTTGTAAAAAGAGAAACTAGCCGGGTACAGTGGCTCACACCTGTAATCCCAACACTTAGGAAGTCCAAGGAAGGTGGATCACTTGAGATCAGGAGTTCAAGACCAGCCAGGTCAACATGGTGAAACCCCTGTCTCTACTAAAAATACAAAAATTAGCTGGGCGTGGTGGCGGGTGCCCGTAATCCCATCTACTCGGGAGGCTGATGCCACCCTGGAGGCGGAGGTTGCAGTGAGCAAGATGGCGGCACTGCACTCCAGCCTGGGTGACAGAGCAAGACTCTGTCTTAAAAAAAAAAAAAAGAGAGAGAGGGAGAGAGAAGCAAAAATATAGTAACCATTGTAGGGATCTTTGTGGCTTGCAGTAAAAATAAGTCAACCTCCATGCAGAGTATTTGAGTGTCTCTTTTGGAGGTGTTAATATTGCTTAACACTCTAATTTCCTTTCCTACTCTCTGGGCTCTGGACAAAAATACACCAATATTTCTCAGAATACTTGGACAAGTTTTATGATCAAATTGGTTCTTTAAAAAGTGACACTAAATAAAATAAAAAATGGTAGTAGAAAAGGTGCAAAATTGTGTTGTGTTATGTAAACATTAGGATTGGTTTCTCTTTCATTTTCTAATTATAAAATTAGGTGAACAGCAGGGCCCTCATCCACTTTCCAGTTGAGAATTGTCATCAAACTTAGAGTAAACTCAATCCCTGATAAGCTTCTAATAAAAATTCAACACTATTGCTAAAACGTATGCACATACCCAGAGATTAGAGAATAGTTGAGAAACTTTGTGATGTTATATATGACAATAATTAAAATAGTCCTCAAAATTAAAACTGATTTGACTATTCTCATGTTCCCGTTATTCACTTCGTAAAAATAAAACATTTTCCTGGCTGTTTCATGAATCTTAAGGATTCATGGGCTTAAAGGATTTAATTTTCATTTCATTCTCCCATATTGGGTTGACGATCAATCTGTGTTTCTTCCGTGTGGACAAAGGAAGAAATTACAAATTGTTTTAATAACCATGTATCATTAAGAAGGCTGAAAAGGTAAATGGCTTCACTAAAGAATGTGATATATTTTAAATATGAAATAGCATTCTATGAAATAGAATAGAAATAGCACTCTATGAAATAGCATTCATAGAGTCATTTTTAGGATAGAAATATCTGACAAATAATAAATATTAAGTTACATTTCTTAATCAAAATTATAGTCACCTTTTATTTTCATAAGCCCATCACTTTAAGGCAGAGGCATTGGGGATTTAAAGAAATGTTTTAAATGTAAAGATGCTTTCATTCTTAAGGAGGTACATTTATTTCCATTTGTCTCATCTGATTCATACAACTAACCCTAGGAGCTGGTGACTTCCTAAGATTTCCAAGCTATTTTGTAGTTGTAGGTAACTGTGTTACCACTTTCCTAATGCACTTTCTTGTTTCTTCTTGGACAGGGACTGATTCAGGAGATCAATGATTTGAGGTTAAAAGTCAGTGAAATGGACAGTGAGAGACTTCAGTATGAAAAAAAGCTTAAATCAACCAAAGTAAGTTTTTCTCGCAGGTTGACATTTTCAAACAAATGGCTCCACTGTTCATCTATGCCCAATAATATAAATAATATGTTTTCTACTTAGTATATGATAAAGAAGGTATTTTAAAAGTAAATGAAGTTCCCCCCAAGCTGGAAACCTTCTTGAATTTAAACACTACTGATCTGAATTTAAAAACAAGGCTTAACTCTTCCGACAGAACATAACCTGCCCTTTCTCTGAGTTGTATCTAACCTCCTTTATAAACTGGTACTATTTTCTCGGTTATTTAGTTTGTCTTTTTCTATCTGTAGTTTTCTTTCACTCCTCTGTCTCTCTACCAGTCTTTAATGGCCAAACTTTCTAGCATGAAAATCAAGGTGGGTCAGATGCAGTATGAAAAGCAGCGGATGGAACAAAAATGGGAGTCACTGAAGGTGTAGTAGACGTTGGGTGATGGGGTCCATGGCCTGTTGCTTTCTGGCTTGTGTTGTTTTGCTGTGATGATGTTTTTAGTGGCATGTGCATTCATTCTGTGTGTGTGTCACCTGTTGATTAAAATCACCTCAAGCTGATTGAAGGGAAAATGGGATCCCTGATGTTGTTTTCAGAAATACATGAAATAATTAGTGAAATATAATAAACAGGTAAAATGAAAGAATTTATAAATTAAACTCTCTTAGACTGAGACCCAAGCCTAGTAAAATAATTGTAAACATTCACCTGTGAAAGAATTCTGTTTCGTATCCACAGTAGAGGTCACTTTCCTCTTTAGGGACTTTCTTGATGGTAAATGTACAGCAGTTGACACTATCATGGCTGCGAATAGAAATGACTGCTGAGAAGCAGCACGGTGAGAACAGGTTCACACTTCCTGCCAGTGCTACTGAGAATTTTTTGTACTTGTCCACTGTGCTCCTACCAGAAGTCAAAACTATAGGGCCAACTGCCTCGCCTCATTGGAGAACTACATCTTCTCATAGTACTAAATGTAATAAATATATCATTACAGATTCTGAAAGTAAAATGTGATATTGAATATAAAGCTGTACTACTTAGCATTGCATAGCTGTATTTTCTGTGTTAAATACAGCCAGCAAAATTTGTTTCCTAAAGCTTCTCTTTACTGAAAGGAAACTGAAAGTTTAAACGTTAGTACATAGAAGGATGGACTTGAAATCTTATACAGTTGTATACTTACACATTAAAAGAGGGCTTAAATATCTGTTTTCTAATTTAGTTTTTCCCATTGTTGTAGGAGATTCTGTCCTTTTATCTTAGCGATGAGGGTGAATTATTTAGTTTCATGATTTGGCTAAAGTTGTTGATGACTTGCTACTTTACCCATTAATGAAACTCTGTGCTTGTCAAGGAGGCATGAGTGCCAACTTGAAATGCCAAATAAATGTCAAGCTAGTCTTTTCCAATTTGCATTTTATTTTGCTTTTATGACACTAAGTATCTAATTTGATTATCTTCCTTGATTAACTTGGTTATATTTTTAATTTAATGTAAAGATTTAAACCTTAGGGCTATCCCATCCCTAATTACACTTTAAAAGATCTCTTTTTCATTTGATTACAAAGAAACTTGTAATAATTATACCATAACTATTATAAACAGAACTTCTGCTGATACTCTTGCTTTTTGCTTTTCATTGCCCTTGTCTGATTTCTGATGCTTGCGTCTAAATTCTTATAGATTTGTTTCATTCATAAAATCTGATGATTGATTTAAAGAGCTAATGTGCTCTCTGAATGTTCTTTTTTAGTCATGATCTGCTATTTTTAAATGAATTTGTAACTTGTAGGATGAACTGGCATCTTTAAAAGAACAACTAGAAGAAAAGGAATCTGAAGTAAAAAGGCTACAAGAAAAATTGGTTTGCAAGATGAAAGGAGAAGAGGTTGAAATTGTTGATAGAGGTAAGAAGATATATTTCACATTTGTCATCTCATTTTTTTAAAGTCCTCCAAAATCTGTAAAAGAAACCAATGATAGTCAATGTGCAGTTTTAGCATCAAAGAAAGAGTAGCAGAATCCAGCCAGGCCCAGAACCACAGGGAATTCTCCAAGACTCTTTACTGTGACTGGGAATCCATTAACTTCCTCTTCAGCAGCTGGAAAAGGGGAATTCTGTACTTCATTTGGTGTTTAAGATTACTAGACTGTAAATTCTCATCACAAGAATGGACTTGTCTCAATTGCAATGCAAGGGAATGTATGCTAAAAGAGTTAAAAAGAACCACCCCTGTGTCCCAGGATTGTTGCCCTCAGAACTGAAATTAGATAAAGTAAGGGACTTAGAAACTGTTCTGCCCTTTAGACAGCAGAGAAAAATGGTTCTGTATCTTTGTAAAAATTAGTAACAAATTTATCCCAGGGATTGAGCCCCTCTACCTTTTAGAAAAATAGGCTAATTCTGTTTTTGGAAAAATGCATGAATTTGTCCAAATCTTTTTTTCATAACTGAAGAGGTTCGTTCTGAGTATTATATGGACCATAATTTCTAACAAAGTAGGTTGTATGTGATAGAAAATAGCCCAAATGAAATATATTTTTAAAATTATATTTGGAAATATAATGTGCATAACATCTGGCAGCACTAGGTTAAATTTAACCTTTCTTTGTAATTACGAATGATGACTGTGGCACTATGAGATACCAAAGCAATTTCTGACTCATTCGAAACAGTACAAATTCCAGTTAGTGTAGCTTTGTTACATTTTTATCTGTTATATGAAAATTAGTAACATTGTCTGTCCAATGAGGGACTTGAATTAGATTATCTGTAAAGTCCTTCCTTGCTCTAGAATACCATGGCCTTACATACCTGTAGGTATCCCAATTCCTTGTCCGTCAGAAAATTCATCAAACCTGAGGAAAATGGATTCTCACTGCCAACCGCTTCTCCGCCCCAGCCCATCACCTACTGTTTGGCATATATAGAATTGTGTATTGATAAGGGGCATTCAGAAACAGGTCATACTGATCATGCTTTTAGGGTTTTAAAAATAAAATGGGCTGGGCACAATGGCTCACACCTGTAATCCCAGTACTTTGGGAGGCCGAGGAAGGAGAGATTGCTTGAGGCCAGGAGTTCAAGACCAGCCTGGGTAACACAATGAGACTCTGTCTCTACAAAAATTTTTTTAAGATTTGAAATTTTTAAATTTCAAATTTCGCCAGGCATGGTGGCTCACTCCTGTAATCCCAGCTACTTGGGAGGCTGAGGAGAGAGGATCGCTGAAGGCCCAGGAGTTTGAGGCTGTAGTGAGCTATGACTGTGTCACTGCACTTCAGCCTGGACAACGGAGCGAGATCCTGTCTCTGAAAAAAAAGAAAGATAAAGAATAAAATGGCATCACAGGACTTGTGGGCTAGAAGATATTAGAGTAATGCTACCCAAAGTCTGATCTGAGGACTCGAATCAACCTGGGAACTGTGTGTTACCAGTGCCCACCAGCTAAATACGGGGATTGAGAGCAAGTCTTTAGAAAGCTCATGTCAGGGTGATATTGGGATAGCTTGTAACTGCATCCTCAGTGGCCTCATCTTATTGGACAGGAGATAGACCCTTTCAGTGTTGTTGAACTTGAGTGGTGAGTTGCACGTGACACAAGCAGCATTCTAGTCACATTCAGGAGGACCAGGTATCAAACTGTGATGGAAATATAAAAACAAAGTGACATTAACTAGGTTTTCATCATTTATGGTATAAGAAGTGCTTGTACTCCATAAACCTAATTTTAATGTGAGAAAATCACGGTCCAGAAAAATGAAGTAACAGAGGTAGTAACTCAAATTTAGGTCTTATATTCTCTTTCTAACCTCACACAGAGCATTATTATACTGCAGTCACAAAATAGTGCTGAAAAAGTTTTTATGAGGTTAGATTTCCTTTATTTTAGTTCAAAGGAGACTAAATAATAGTGATTTTAAAATATTATTTATTGTTGTAATGTTTGCTAACTTCCAATTCGATGGGTTTTCCTGCACAGATGAAAATTTTAAAAAGAAGCTCAAAGAAAAAAGTAAGGTTTGGTGCATTTCCATCAGCCTTTACATTCACCAAAAATACTACCTTGGACTGTTCTTTGCATGTGTTTTAAAACATTTCTCTCACCAAAGATGTAAAGTTGCTTCATCGATAAGCCCTCCATTTCTTCAGAGTGTACACAATAGAGGGTGGATAATAAAACAATAAGGTAAAAGATCATTTTGAAGATTTTGTCTGATTCAACCTTTCTGCTCTACAGGGTACAACAGGGCACACAGCATTGTGGATGTAAGAAAACATGTTCCTTGCAGTCTAGGTGATACAGGGTCAGAGGAGAAAATAACTCTTATAGTACGAAAACTCATGATTTTAAAGGTTTACCAGAGTTGAAAGATAATTTTGAAATTTGCTTTTGCTTTTCAATGTTTTGAAGTCCACTATTTGTCTGAGATCTATTAGAAGCTCCTTTGAACATGTTACGTTGTTACAACAGAGATGGAATTCAGCTGATTAATGGAGCCTGAATATTTAATGCAACATTAAGATAAATCCTGCCAGACATGGTGGGAGGATCACTTTTGAGGCCATGGGTTCAAGACCAGCCTAGGCAACATAGTGAGATCCTGTCTCTACAAAAAAATTTAAAATTAGCTGAGCATGGTGGTGCATGCCTGTAGTCCCAGCTACTCAGGAGGCTGAGGTGGAAGGATCACTTGAGCCCCAGGCATCTAGGAGTTTGAGGCTGCAGTGAGCTATGATCTTGCCATTGTACCACATTCCGGGCAATAGTGAGACCCCATCTCTTAAAAAAAAAAAAATTAACTCCTTAGGGGCTCTTTCCCCCAGATGTTAAATTCTCAATTCCTATAGAATATATCTTAATTTAAAATGTTACACCAATGCAGAATGATGCACCACTGTTTTAAAATTTATCTTAGGAAGACTGGATGTGGTGGCTCACTCCTGTAATCCCAACTCCTCGAGAGGTTGAGGTGGGAGGATCACTGGAGCCCAGGAGTTCAAGGCTACAGTGAGCTGTGATTGTGCCATGCACTCCATCTGAATGACAGAGGAAGACGCTGTCTCTAAAAAAAATATTATCTTCAGTAATTTTTTTTTCTCTCAGAAGCAGGCAACTTTAGCTGATTTTTTTTTTCCTGTTTCGATTTTGTAGTTTGTGATTTCGCTTTGGAGTGACTTTTCATTTGTTTATTTGAGACAGGGTCTCGCTCTGTTGCCCAGGCTGATCTCAAACTCCTGAGCTCAAGCAATCCTCCCACCTTGGCCTCCCAAAGTGCTGGGATTACAGGCATGAGCCACTGCACCAGGCCCTGGAGTGACTTTTCATCTTTAAAATATTTAAGTTTTTTATTATTCAAGTAACATGCTTTTGTATTTGAATATCAAATTTTAAGGAGAATCACATTCAGCTTACTTTGGCCTTTATGTCTTGAAATCTATCTTAAGGTAGTATTGGAAATGAAGTTTATAGATGAAGCAAAGTACTTATTATGCTTATGTATGGAACTACAACCAGCTTCTTAGCATGACTACTCATGTAAATACTACATGCCATCAGGCTCCTACCATTCATGCCTCTATCTTGGTTATAACTATCATTTTCTCTGCTTTTGTCATTATATGTACCATTCATGGCTTTCACGCACTGCTTTGTAGATTCCTGTTTTAAAAACATGTTTTTATTACTATAGCACTGAAATTTCATCTTCAGTGTTCTCATGAAGATTCTCTTGTTGCTTTAAGAGAGGATCGCTAGTTCTCACACACCCTTGTTTTCTTTCTAGAATGGCAACTGTTCAGGTGAGATAGAAGACGTCCATCTTTTCAGATTTTCCCTAAAAGAGAATATGGGTGTTAAATGTGCCCTTTTAAAAGAATAAATGAAAGAAATCGTTAACATATTTACCTTAAACTATTTCAGTCTGGAGAGTAAATAACTTCTGATCACTGTCACACATGTGAACTAAACTGACTTCTGATTTGGTGTTATTTTCAGACATCGAAGTACAAAAAATGAAGAAAGCTGTGGAGTCTTTGATGGCAGCAAATGAAGAAAAGGTATCCAGATGAAATTTAAATATATATGTGAATGTTTTTTAACACCATTTTGACCATTCCATGCAATTTCATGAGCTATTCCATTTTAAAAGAACATGCCCAGAACACTGCTAGGAGTGAGGGGCAGGTGTGCACACTCCCAGGTGGGCTGTATGCACAGGAATAGGGAGGAGCAGCACTGGCTCCACTGAGAACTCCTGCCCCCATGAATTCAGAAAATGTTCAAACTCTCTGATCAGTTCCGCATATTCAGGTGACAGAGAGAGGATACATTCCATAGTAGATCCTGTCTGTGGGCACTGAAAATTCTGGGCTGACCTGTGGGCCCTGAAGGAGCTAACTTGACAACCTCAGCTTCATGGTCATGTTGATTTGGTCCTCCATTTACTCATTATTTCCTTTACACTCCTGGCCTGTTTCACATCTGTGATTGTCTCTGCTCTCCTGAGAGATTAAATACCAGAAAACAGTGGCACAGTCTTTACTTCAGCTACTTTGGCTTCATTCCAAGGTTTCCACAGGTTTTTCCCCGCCAGTTGGTTCTTGTTATCCACATCTGATGTTTCATCCTGCTAAGGGCAGGGATGCAGTTACCCCACGAAAACAATGGGTTTCTTCCTGGCCTGCCTGACCATCCGTGTATCTAGCTGGCAGCCGCAATTGTGTTCAGCTGATGTCATCAGAACTTCTCTCCCCTTATCTGCCTGAATGAATAGAACCAGGGAATATTTCCCCCAAAAAAGAGTAATTTCAAGGAAGTAAAAAACAACAGAATGTCAAAGAACTTTGGCTTGATCCTTCTCTCCCATTGTGAGTTTCTTTCTCTCATTCTTGGCTACTCTGTTTTTCTTATCTCCTTGTTTATTTTTGCCCTGCGTTCTCTTTATTTGCTCTTTATTGCCTGGAAATAAACTGATTGTCATACCTACTCATACAGGTTCCTTTTTGCTAATGTTTCCCACTATTGAATAAAAAGACAAGGAATTAGCAAGCTGCCCACCGTAACTTTTATTTTTCAAAAAATCACTGAAATTCATTTTGTTTTCATTTCTGTCCCTCAACAAGCAACCGCAAACAAAACTCCCAGTGTTGAATGAGGACTTATGAGATGCTCAAACCTTTATAGGAGCACCCAGAGTAACATAACTTCCTCCTGGGGTCGGGAGTTCAGAAGACTTCAAAGAGGACATATTTGAGCAAATTCTGGGGAAAAGCAAGAGTTGTTCATTGGGAAAATAAAGGCTTCTTAAGCAAAGGGCCCATGAGTCAAAACTTGTCTTGAGACCAGGTGTGAAACAGCACAGTGCATGCTGGGATTGAGCAGTGCAGGTGAAGGAGGGGGCGTGGGGCTGACCACAGAGCTCAGTCAGGGGGCAGGCCGCTTCACGCACCATGCTCTTGATTTAAGGTCTTAGCATGTAAACCTTAGGCAGTGACATGATTAAATTGCCATTTTAGAAAGCTAACTCTGGTAGCAGAATGGGAGAGTGACGACAGGTCAACAGTTAAAAGTTTGTTAAAATAGGTGAGAAATGAAGAGGGCTTGAAGTAAGGCAATAGCAGTGAAGTGGTAAGGTGGGAAGAGGTTTTAGAGAAATTTACGGGTTGACAAGATTTAAGGTCTCTGGATTTGAAAAACGAGAGTAAGTTTCTGGTTTGGGCAACTGGGTGAATGGCTGGTGCTCTTAAGGAGTTAGGGAAATCCAGGCACAGGCTCAAGTACTGAAGGGAAAGAATGAGCTTAATTGTAGATCTAGTCTATCCAATATGCTTACGGGACATTCTTAAGGAGATTTCTTACAGAAAGTTGGAACATGAATCTAAATGTTAGGATTAATGTAGAAACATAGATTGATGGGGAGTGAGGCCCATCAATTTTAGGAGAAATGTAGAGTTGTAGTTTGGTGTAGACTAAGCCACAGTTGATGTGTCAGGTAGCTTTTGCTTTGTGACAGACCACATTTATTATTTCTCGTACTTGTGTGAGTTGGGTAGATGATTCTTCTGATCTCGGCTGGCTTAGCTGACGTCTGCAGTCAGCTGATGGCTTAGATGAGACTGCATGCAGAATTTAGGGTAGTGTCATTCACGTGTTTGAATTAATTACATTTTTTTTTTTTTTGCTTGAATTACATTTGCTGATATCTCTTTGGCCAAAGCCAGCCACATGGCCAGGCCCGGAATGAGAATGGGAGGAGCTAGGGAGGCCATTTTCATAGCACAGTTGAGCACATGGGAAAAGCAAAGAGGGTCACGGACAGAACCTGGAAGCTCTAGCATTTTATTAGTCCGAGAAGATAATGGGAGTTATGGAAGTTTGGCAGCTATCTGGTCAAAGGATTGATAAACAAAAATGGAAGAAAAGAAGGAGTGGATGGATAAGTGAGAGGAGAAGGAAAGTGAGAGGAGAAGGAAAGATAAGTGAGAGGAGAAGGATAAGTGAGAGGAGAAGGAAAGAGTCAGTCAAGTGCCATATAGAGGTCAAATTAGAAAAAGGTTGGGACTGGTCATGGTGGCTCATGCCTGTAATCCCAGCGCTTCAGGAGGCCAGGGTGGACAGATTACTTGAGCCCAGGATTTCAAGAGCAGTCTGGGTGACATGGTGAAATCCCATCTCTACAAAAATAGAAAAATGAGCTGGTCATAGTGCTGCATGCGTGTACTCCCAGCAACTCAGGAGGTTGAGGTGGGAGGATGACTTGAGCCCAGGAGATTGAGGCTGCAGTGAGCCAAGATTGCACCACTACACTGCAGCCTGGGTAACAGAGCGAGAGCCTGTCTCAAAAAAAAAAAAAAAAAGGATGAAAAGTGTTCATTGTTTTTAATAGATAGGAGGTCACCTTGGTAGAGTGTTTTGAGAGGGGAGAAGCCAGATGGTGATTAATGATGGCTAAGAAAGACAGAAGATGGGGGCCTTTCTTTCAAGGTTTGATTTATAAGTTAGAGAGGAGAGTAACTGAAGCTGACTTTTTTCTTTTTTTGTTTTGTGTCTTATTACCTTGTTTTGTTTTTGTTTGTTTAAAGATGGCAGCTAAAGGATAGAATCCCTAAATTTAGAGGTACTTTTTCCATATCTTTAATGTATGTAGGAAACATAGTCTAGTTATTACCAGTTCTCCTAAAGCTTAGAAGTGTTCTTTAAATAATGTAAATAATTCACATCTGCTTATTCTTTTTTTAAAATACTCTCTCGGCAGAATCATGCATATTCTTTATGTAAAAGCGATTACTGTTACTCTTTTAAGAACATAGGGTTAAAGATTATAATTTATTTTATTCCTAGGATCGAAAAATAGAAGATCTTCGACAGTGCCTGAACAGGTACAAGAAAATTCAAGATACTGTGGTACTGGCCCAAGGTAAAAAAGGTAGAGTGTAGCTCGAAAAGTTTTTTTACTTTGGTTGACTCTAGGTGGCTATAAACTTTGGCCTCAGTTTCTTTCCTGGATCATATCCATCGTCCCAAATTAGGTAGCTCATTCATTAATTGAACAATGAGAACTGTACTCTGCCAGAAAGTGTCCAGCCTGAGGAGTCAGTGTACTGTAGAGTCGTTGGTCGGGGAGTGCCTCTCTAAGGAGTTGATGAGATAGCATTCCAGAGAGAGAAAACGACAGCATATGCAGAGAGCCTAGGGGGAAAAGAATGTGGCATGCTTAAGAAGAAGAACACCAGTGCAGCTGCAAGGTGGTGGGTAGTGAGGAGAGGGGATAAGAGGAGACCATGATGATGAGCAACCACTGGTCATGCAATGGGTGGAGTTAAGCTCATGCTCAAGTGCAGAGGGACTCACTGACGGGTTTTAAAAGTCAGCAGTGGCCAGGCATGGTGGCTTATGCCTGTAATCCCAGCACTTTGGGAGGCCAAGGCGGGTGAATCACCTGAGGTCAGGAGTTCGAGACAAGCCTGACCAACATGGTGATACCCCGTCTCTACTAAATACAAAAAAATTAGCTGGGCGTGGGAGCAGGTGCCTGTAATCCCAGCTACTCAGGACGCTGAGGCAAGAGAATCGCCTGAACCCGGGAGGTGGAGGTTGCAGTGAGCCGAGATTGCACCATTGCACTCCAGCCTGGGTGACAGAGTGAGACTCCGTCAAAAAAAAAAAAAAAAAAAAAAAAGGTCAGCAGCATGATCTTTGTAACACGTGGGCCATGGAGGGAAGTGACCAGTATTGGGAGCAGCGGAAACCAATTCTGAGATTTGCAGTATTCCAAGAGAAAAAATCTGGTAGTTGCTGATTGGGAATATGTTATGGTGGATTGACCCAGTGGTGTAATAAGATAGAGGAGGAGAGTGAAGAAGAGGGGAGAGATCAAGAAAGACCTTTCCAACTAAAGCAGCTGGGTAGCTGATGGTTCCATTTACTGATAGGGGGAAGCCTAAAGAAGGAACACTGGGCTGGGTAAGGAGGATTGAGTTCAGCTTTGAACATGGTAAGTTCAGAAAAACCTTGTAAAACAGGTGCATAAGGATAGTTGTGCATTTTGTTGTATTTGTTATTATTTTATCTGCAGATGGGCCAATTGGCCATCCTCAAATGTGGAGGAAATTTGAAAGGGTTCTTGTTTTTTAGCAATGCATAGGTAGAGTTATTTGCTCTCAACGTAAGCACTGGAAATAATTCTTTTGGAAGGTCCCCATGAAACACTCAGATTTTGAAATTTTAATTTTGGTGAGTTCACAGAGAAGGAAAATCCTGCTTTGGATCAGGATTTTTGAAAAAAAAAAAATTGTATGCAGGGTCTGGCATATTAGATTTTATAAATATCTGAGTGAGCAAATGAACCTCTGATAATCAGTGTTGACTAGCAGTTCTCATCACTCAGCATTTTCCATGCCTTCAGAAAAAGAGTCTCTATCCTATGGAATATTGCAAATTTGTAAGTGGTTTTTACATATGCATCTCATTTAAAATATTGTTTAATTTTATAGAGTTTCAACTGTTCAATTCTTATGTTTAAAACCAAGGCAGAAAAAATTAATTCCTTTAATTAGACTATATTGTAAAACATTTGGAAAATAAAGAAAAGAGATAAAAATCACTCATAATTGCACTGGCATGATCACTATTGGCATTTTTTTTATTGTTTCTTTCTAGCTTTTTTGCCTGTGCATACAAACATGTAAATAAAAGAGGTAGTTTTTAACGAGGTACAGCAGCACAGATTTCATAAACCCTTGAAAACTATGTTCTGTTCCAATAAAGGGTTGTATAAACTGATTTCTCACTAGGAGTTATATTTAGTTAATCCTCACACAATTCTAATAACACTAAATTCTAATAAAGTTAGAATAACATTCTAGTGACCTAAATTAAGAAGCTGTGGTCTGATTAAGATCTTTAAACAAGTATATGATTTACCATTTCATATTATTTGTAGATTAGAGTCTTAAGTATCATTTTTTTTCTATTTTTAAGAAAGAATATCTGGCACTGCGCTTTCACCATTTAATCCTTTTGATTTCTAGAGATGCAAAAAAAATTCTCAAGGTTGCAGCTTTGGTGAATATGTGGTTGCTTTTTTCCATCAGACTTTTTTTGCTTTAAAATGGCATAAAAGGATCCTCTTGAGAGATCAAAGGTCATCTGTCTTTTTGTTTTTTCTATTCTTTCTATGTTTTTTCAAGAGCACATCAGTGATGAAAACTAAGTGTTTAAATGGGACTTTGTTGCTATTTGGAATTTGTTTTTTGTACCAGGTATTATTCAGTTTGATTATTTCTACACTAAAATTTGTAAGCCCCAGATTTTAAAACAAAATTACAAGAGAGTTGTTGGAAAAAGTTAACTTTTAATTTTCTTTCCCTCTAATGAGTCAATGTATCAAGTACGACTTTGTCTATTAATATCATAGGTACCCACTGTGGCCCAAGAGCCCCTGACCCTAGTTGTTCACAGTTTCAAATGCTGTTTCCTAGGTCCTTTGTTGTTTTTCAAGAGATGCCAGGAGAAGCTGACTCTGATTTTTAAGGATCAGAAAAAATTTTATGTTCAATATAACTGGGTTTCTTACCTTCCTGTAAAAGTGAAATATAAATCAAAAACTGCTGTTGTCTCCTCTTTGCTTTGTCTTTTCCTAGGCAAAGATGGAGAATATGAAGATCTGCTCAATTCCAGCTCCATCTCCACTTTGCTGGATGCACAGGGTTTCAGTGATCTGGAGAAAAGTCCATCACCCACTCCAGTAATGGGATCTCCCAGTCGTGACCCATTTAACACAAGTGTTCCTGAAGAGGTATTAATAGACCTTCAATATTTCCTTCATGTTGAAGAGACTGTGTTATTGACAGTTAAAACACTGCTCATAACGTGAAAAACATGGGTTCCTTTCTCAGTTCCATTACCAACTCAAGTGAGGTTATATAAATAAATTGACTTTGGCCATTTCTGATGGTGACTCTGAAAGATAATTGAATAAAATTTTCTTCTGACTTCTTTAGACTTGGAAGAAGCAACTGGAGAGGAGTAAGCAGTTATACACTCCTTAGTTTGCATCAAACTGGTGTGAAAATCTGTTTGCTATCTATTGTACACCACACCGAAAGTTTGTGGCTTCAATGACAGCATTTCTTTTGCTGATGACTCTGCACTTCAGCAGGGTTCAGCATGAGCATCTCGTCTCTGCTCCACTTGGCATCAGCTGGAGTGGTGTGAAGGCCTGGGCCTGAGTCGTCTGAAGGCTAACTCATTCATATGTCTGGTGGTTGAGGCTGGCTTTTGGCTGGGACCTCAGCTGAGGCCCCATTTAGAACAACTACCTGTGACTGCTTGGGCTTCCTCACAATCCTAAGGGTGAGCATTCCAGGAGGCCCGGGCAACTCTGCATCTCCTGTTATGATTTATCTCAGAAATCACATGGCATCTCTTCTGCTGTAGCCACAGGCCTACAGCCCACCCTGATTCAAGGAGAGGAAACACAGACCCTACCCTACCTCTGGATGAACAAGTGACAACATTACATTGTTAGGACACATGGGATGGGATATATTGGTGCAACCATATTTGGAAAATATAATCTACCCTCTGGCTACACCACTTTACATCCCTCTCCCATGCAAAAGACACTCGCCCCCTTTCCGAAGACCCCTGAGTCTCATTCCAGTGAGGCGTCAACATCCCAGGATCTTGTCATCCAGACCAGGTTGAGATGTGGGTGAAGCTCCTCAGGTACAGTTCCTTGCGCAGAGCTCCTTGGGGACTGTTCCATTGACTTAAAGAGCTGTGGACTTCAAGGACAGTTATCTGCCCTCCACACACCCATACAATAGTTGGACAGGCGTAATGTAACTGCAGTAGCCACTCCCATTAAAAAAGGGGAGCTGGAAGGCTCACAGGTGTCACCAGTCCATAGCAATTCCAAAATCCAGCCAGGCACGTGTTGCCAATCCTCTGGGCTATTGGCTCTTCCCTCTAAGTCATCCTTCCTTTGCCTGTGTTTGCAGATGAGTAGTTTTCTCAGTTTTGTGCCTGCAAAAATGCCCAAAGATCTCCAAGTTCATCTCTTCATTTTCCATTATCTCTGTCCTTTTGAGTCTAATTTGGTGTAATACTTTAAACATTTAGAATTTCATATGAATCGTGTTATAATTCACTGAATTAGAAGAACACATCCACAGCTATCTTCACCATAAGCCTATCTCTGTAGCTAAGGTTCCCTGTAAGGCTGCAGTGGGACATCCCATTGCTTTTAGAGCCTTTGATCATTTTTCAAAGGTTCAATGAGACAGTACTACTCTAATCTTCCTAAGGTTTTTTTTTTTTCCTATTTTTATTTGATTCTAGTCTAGTCCATCCTGAGGTCTTAGCAAAGGGTTTTACAGCCACATCCTTGGCTCACCTGAAGACCATGTTCTCCTGATAGCCCTTGTGCTTGATCTTTGCCCTGAAACTGTTTCTTAATTTTAGTGTAATTTTTTTTTGTCTAGAGAGTCCGGGAATGGGAAATAGTTTCATTGTCTAAACAATCTTGGCTTCCTTATTTTAGCAGTTGCTGTTTTGGTCATTTCTCTTCTCACATTTTACCATAGGTAGTGAGAAGAAACCAAGTGGCATTTTTACTTTTTATCTGTTGCTGATAATTACACAATGAGAAGATGAAATTTGAACTGAATGAAAATGAATTCAAGGAGAAGACAATGAAAATGTCTCTCTTAAATGTAGGAGAGGGCTGAAATATTTCATTAATCAAGGAATTAATTAAGGAATAAGAAATACTTTGGTAGAAAATATCCCCTAATTGTTAGATATATATTTATATTGAAAGCAAAAATAATATTTGACAGCCCATGAGTAGGCTGCAATTATAGAACTAGTGTTACATGTAGGGTACACCCAAATAATCTCACGTCCTTTTAGAAAAAGTCTTTGCTATGTGAATTGTAGTTTAATTACCGGTTTTAAGTTTGTAACAAGAATGGTTTGATGAGGATTGAGGGAGTTCAGCCACATTTTTAAAGAAAAGCCAGGAGGGGGATCTGAGTTTGGAATTAAAGTCTAAAAGTTTGAAAAAGATCAAGAAAATGGGTCTGTTAGTTTAGTTATATTTTCCTCATGATTAGGAATCTCAAGAGACAAATGAACTTCAGGAAACAGCGATGATGGCTAAATAAGTTGCCCAGGATTCACCATAAAGATTCAAACTGAAAAAGTTGATAGTGAAATAATCTCCTACTTTATAAATAATATGATTTCACATTTTATTACCTTTTATTGCGTTAAAGGATGAGCCCACCACTGAATAACAGAAACAAAAATCACAAAGCTGAATTTATTGCTTATTTAAGTGAGTGAGTGTTCCCGATCAAGTACATTCTCTTCTAGCTAATCATATGTGGGTTTTGGGATGGTTGGAGCTCAAGGATTGGTGGACTTTCTGAGGCAAGTGTGAGTCGACGTCCACTGTAGATGTGTGGTTACTAAGGTGAGATTGTTGCTGACTGGTTGGCGTGTAGAAGTGTGTTCACTGGTGTGAGTCCTTACCAGGCAGCTTTCAGAAGTGAAGAACTGTCACTAGTTGACTGGTGGGAGTTCATTGTGACAAACTTTGTTCATGTTTTTGTTTTTAACTGAAATATTTTTCGTTCATTCATTTATGGTGTGGCCCACAATCTAACTGCTCTACGGTTGTAAAAAATTATTGAAAACCAAAGTATTAAAATTATTTCACAGGCTCTTTCCTTAGGATACACAAAGCATTTGTTTGAGAAAATGTGTGATGCATTTTATTTGTTGCTGTAATATTATTATTGTCATTAAGCAAAGTGTTTTTTAAGTGGCCACAAAGTCCATTGTAATTGGTTTTAATTACACTTTTCATCAATTATGTTAATTGAAATTAGTCAACTAGTTCACATATAGAATAATAATAAACTGGTTTGACCAATGTTCCGTATAAGATTAGTAGTAGAAATCAAAGTAAAAATGGAGCTTTTCGCTGGACACAGTGGCTCATGCCTGTAATCCCAGCACTTTGGGAGACTGCGTGAGCACAGAGTTCCAGATTAACCTGGGCAACATAGGGAAACCCTGTTTCTACAAAAAAATTTTAAACGTCAGCAAGCTGTGGTGGCGCATGCCTATAGTCCCAACTACTTGATGGGGCTAAGGTGGGAGGATCACTTGAGCCCAGAGGTTCGAGGCTGCAGTGAGCCGTGATCGCAGCACCGTACTTTAGCCTGGATGACAAAGTGAGACCATGTCTCAAAAAATAGTAGTAATAATAGAGTGTTGAAAGCAAAACATGTTACCCAAATCTTACGTTAAATCGTCGCAACCTGCAGGGTAGGCATTGTCATTCTTATTTTACAGAGGGCAAAACTAATGGATGCCTCGCAAAGTGATTTGCTAAGATCACAGATCACTTAGGCAAGTGTGTCAGAGCCCACATTTCAGCCAGGGCTTAAGGTTGTTAGGATTTACTATTACTAGCTGGGTACGGTGGCACACATCTATAATCTCAGCTACTCAGGAGGCTATGGCAGGAGACTGCTTGAGCCCAGGAGTTCGAGACCATTCTGGGCAACATAGCAAGACACCGTCTCAAAAAAAGAAAAAAAAAATTACTGTTAACTTGCTTAATGGTATACCATCTTTTTCACAATATTCAGTGTCTTATTCAGAACCAAGTTAAAAAATTTCCTTCCTCCAGAATGATTTCCTTGATTAGTACTTCTTCTGTGTAGATGTTTATATTCCGAAATCATTTTATAGAGTTCTGAACAATGATTATGAGATTTTTGTCAATAGACCATTTAATTGTCTTACTTTTGTTTAATTACTCTGTGGCTTGTGTTTTGTTTTGATTGATGGATTGATTGACTTTTGACTTTTTATGATTACATTACAGTTCCATGCCACCATCTTGCAAGTTTCCATCCCTTCATTATTGCCAGCAACTATAAGTATGGAAACTTCTGAAAAATCAAAGTTGACTCCTAAGCCAGAGACTTCATTTGAAGAAAAGTATGTCATTTATTAACAGTGCAATATAAATGTTCAAAATAGTAGATCAACCAAAGACACAGATGTATTGCATTTATTTACAGACGCAATTTTTACCTAGAGAAGCAAGAAACAGCAAGACGTCCATTGGGGGATCTGTAATCAGTTCTGCATTATGGAAATAAAAAGTGTGAAGCAGGAAGTGATAAGAGATGAGGCTGCCGAGGTAGGGTGGTCAGGTTCGAAAGAGATTTTGAGGAACTTGGCTGGGTGTGGTGGCTCACGCCTATAATCTCAACACTTTGGGAGGCCAAGGCAGGCAGATCACTTGAGGCCAGGAGTTTGAGACCAGCCTGGCCAGCATGGCGAAATCCCATCTCTACTGAAAATACAAAAATTAGCTGAGTGTGGTGGTGCACGCCTGTAATCCCAGCTACTCGGAGGCTGAGGCACAAGAATCACATAAACCCAGGAAGCGGAGGCTGAAGTGAGCTGAGATCACATCACTGTACTCCAGCCTGGATGACAGAGCGAGACTGTGTCTCAAAAAGAAAAAAAAGAAAAAGCAGTTTAGGGAGCTTGGAATTTTATTTCCTAGGTCATAGGTAACTGTGAAAGGATTATAAATTAAATAGTCACGGTCATGTGGTATGAGTGCATTTGAAGGATGGGTCTGAAGGGGACAGGAAAAGGATACAGTAGTTTGTCTGTAAGCAAATAGAATGTTTTGCCAACATATTCCCAAATTGCCTAGTCTTATTTTAGGCCAAATAGAACATTTTTTAGAAAATAGAAATAGCCTCCTTTGCACAATTTTTTGTTTTTTACATATCTGTTCACTTAGAACATATATGGTCTTTTATTCGTGAGGTTAATAAATACCTTCTGTTCTTTACATTTTAGTGATGGAAAGACAATCCTTGGCGCCACTGTTGATACCCAGCTGTGCGATAATCTTTCGTAAGTTACATTTTATTCAATGTGAAAATGTGATTGAGGCAAGAGGAGGAAGAGAGTTCTGTTATACTAACAGTTACTAATACTAACAGCAAATGACCGAGGCTGTTCAATTACTGAATAAATTAATGCAGCTATAATAATTGGGTGGGGGTGAAGGTGGGGAGCTGTAAGTTTACAAAGAAATAATTTCTCATTTGCTATTATCTCACGCCGGGGTTTTGCAGGTCTTTAGCCTTGCTTAATCAGTTTTCATTTGAAGTTCAATGCTTTTAATTCATTTTTTCACTGACATGTTTTGAGTCCAGTGGGAAGGCATCACAGGGAATGATGATGCTGGAAAAGCTGAGATGGGTTTTTTTGCACTTTCAGTTTTATGAACTGACCTAATATCTATGTTTATCCAAGTTAAAGTCTGGATTAAATTAGGAAAGTCTATTTTCAGAGCAGTACTCAAAAATGAGATCTTTTCTTTTCTCACTATTATCTTTTACTTTATTTGGTAGTTGATACTTCTGGCAATGTATACATATAAACACAGAAGAAATGCCTTTTAAAAGTTTGTAAATGTGCGTATTTATATTACTCTGTTTCATAGAACCAAATACATTACTTCTCTGTCACTCTCTCTAAACTGGTCACATATCTCTACCTTCAATTTTTTAGTAACACCAGCTCTATATAATTGAATACTAATTATGTGAAAGAGAGAGTCTCTGGATGTTTATAGTGTCTTTTTCCCTTCACTAGGCTAGCAAATGAATTATTATGGGCAGCATTAGGGATTCCTCTACTATGCTTTAATTAGAACTATAAAATGAATTGCTTTGCCAGGCTCAGAAAAGTGATTCCCTCGTGAATTGAAAAGTAAAACTTCCATTCTTTATTTTAATTAGAAGGATTAGATATAAATAGTACATGAGTATTTTTAAAGTTCCTAGTTTAAATGTGTACATGCAGAGGACGCACCACTAGTCCACAGAAAACTCTGCTTTATTTTTGAATATGGACATCACAAGGCTAGTCCTAAGTGCTTTTCCAGCTCTTCTAACATGTGTAGGGCAGTCAGAATTATTGGCAGGACAGTTAATCACCCCTGCTTTTAAAAGAACTAAATGTTGTCATTTAGTTAAGCACATAAGTGACTGCCTGATTCCAGATTTTCTTTTATTACCAGGATTCAACCCACATGCAATTTTAGTTTCTTTCCAAGATGTTTTACTTAGAAACAGTGGCACTGGAGCCACTTATTATTAATTGTTATTGCTGTTATTTTTAGAACTTCAAGTCTGCAAAAGTCCAGCAGCCTGGGCAATCTGAAGAAAGAGACATCTGACGGGGTGGGTTCTGTGTTTTCTGTCTGTTATCCTGAGAAAAAACTGTTTAGGGATCTTCATCTTTTCCCTTTTTGCAAATAAAACTCTCATGAAGAGCTTGTGGTTTTTAGTGGAAAATTATTAGATATTAGGCTTAACAGTAAATATTAAGAAGTATGAATATGAAGGATTGAAAATAGTATGTAAAACCAAAAATGGAGACTTTAATAAAACATTTTGGAAAATAAATGATACTAAGATTTTGTAGCTTAGAAGTAGATATAAAATTATTTTAACTTATGGAGTTGTATGTGACAAATTCAGAATTATACAAAGGATTTCCCTAACGACCTTAAATATTGTTATTGCTTTGCTTTGAACAGGAAAAGGAATCTATTCAGAAGACATCAGAGGTAACTTTTTGTCCAAATTACAACGCAAAAATATTTCTACTTCCATTACATGTAAATTGCTTAAATGTCTCCAGTGGATAAAAACTTTCAGAACCTCTAAAACATTATGCCAAATGAAGCCAGACACAAAGTTCACATATTATATGATTCCATTTATGTGAAATATCCAGAACAGATAAATCTATAGAAATAGAATGCAGATCGGTGTTTACCAGTGGTGAGAGGAGGGAAGAATGGGGAGAAGCTGTTTAAGGGTAAGGGGTTTTGCTTTCGCATGATGGAAATGTTTTGGAACCGGGCAGAGGTGGTGGTTGCACAACATCGTAACATACTAAATGCCACTGATTTGTGTGCTTTAAAATTGTTAGTTTTGTTTTGAATTTCACTTCAATAAGTTATTAAGAAACAAAATGTTCCTAAGAACAAAAATGTTCTTAATGACCGTAACTGAGCTTCCTTAGACCTCCCCAAAAGCCCTTCTTAGATTGCCATTAGATTATACACCCGGTGTCCATCTAAAGCAAACATTTTGGTATGTTTAAAGATGTCATCAGCATGTGCTCAATTCTTCTTTCCCCTGATTTTCTTTTTTTTTCTTTTTTTTTTTGAGATTGTATCACTTTGTCAGCCAGGCTGAAGTGCAATGATGAAATTATAACTCACTGTAGCCTCAATTTCCTGTGCTTAGGTGATCCTCCCACCTCAGCCTTTCAAGTAGCTGGGATTGCAGGCATGCACCACTATACTGGGCTGTTTTTTTTTTTTTTTGAAAGTACAGATGAGATCTTGTTATGTTGCCAAGGCTGATCTTGAACTCCTGAGCTCAAGTAATCCTCTCACCTCTGCCTTTCAAAGTACTGGGATTACAGGCATGAGCCACTGTGCCCGTTCTGTCCTCTGATTTTCTGTCATTAACCTTGCAAAGATTACAGCTTGATGGGCTACTTCCAGATCCAGTCTCTTGACTCTTGGCTCTTAGTGCCAGAGTTACATATGGATAGAACTGACAAAGCAGCTAGTGGCAACAGCTATAATTAAAATCCTTTTTGTCTTTTCAGTTCAATAAGTGGTTAAACTATTTTGATGTCATTGTTGAGCCAGGGATAATAATACCACTAAACGGTGCCATCTATAAACTTTTGGTTTCTGTGAGCTATAATATATAGAGTAAAATAACCTAAAATACCTGTATCCCCTCACCCTTTTCTCTGCTTCTGCAAAAAAAGAAGCAGAGGGCAAGAATTATTTCTACTTCTGCAAAAAAAGAAACAGAGGGCAAGAATTATTAAAGAAATGAGAACAAGAAGACAAAAGCATCTGTGTATAAAGTGTCAAGAATATACAGTGGGGGGGCCGGGCGCGGTGGCTCAAGCCTGTAATCCCAGCACTTTGGGAGGCCGAGACGGGCGGATCACGAGGTCAGGAGATGGAGACCATCCTGGCTAACCCGGTGAAACCCCGCCTCTACTAAAAAAAATACAAAAAACTAGCCGGGCGAGGTGGCGGGCGCCTGTAGTCCCAGCTACTCGGGAGGCTGAGGCAGGAGAATGGCGTAAACCTGGGAGGCGGAGCTTGCAGTGAGCTGAGATCCGGCCACTGCACTCCAGCCTGCGCGACAGAGCGAGACTCCGTCTCAAAAAAAAAAAAAAAAAAAAAAAAAAGAATATACAGTAGGGAAAGGACACCCACTTCAATAAATGGTGCTGGGAAAATTAGATATCCATATGTAGAAGAACGAAAGTGGACTCCACCTGTCACCAAATCAACAAAAATCAACTCAGGATGGATTAAGAACTTACATATAAGGCCAGAAACTATAAGACTGCTAGATGAAAACAGGGAAGCACTTCAGGACATTGGTCTAGGCAAAGCATCTTTGTATAAATACTAAAATAATATAACATGCTGTGTTACAGCCAGCTCTAATTGCCAATTCAAAGAACCAAAAAGCTCAAAATAAAGTTGCTCACCGTGCCTTCATTTTGTTATTCTTTGAGGAGAATATTTAAAATAACTGGAGTAGAGTCTCCTTATACTGCTGGTGTAGAAGTTTGGACTAATGCCTGCTTTGTAAAATAATTAATATTATATTGGGCTTCTAGTATAGTTATGAGAATATGAACTGTATTATAGCTAAATCCATGTCATAGTTGTTAGAAAAGTCAGAAATCTGCTGCCATTATTCTGGTTATGTAATGTCTCCATGTCTTTTGAGGAATGAGGCAAACAAAATTTAAGAATTTTTGTATCCTAAATATTTAAAGCCCTAAACAGATTGATCCTAGATTAGTGATGAACATGTTTTCCTTGTTGCTTTTGTTGTTGTTTCTTAAGTAGCTTTCAGAATTGATTTTTTTTTTTCAACTTCTGATAAGGCATTTGACATTGGTGATCGATGTGTTAGTTCAGTTTTTCTTTTGAATAAACTCATGGATGTGGCGTGAGTGAGTATTTGCTGTTAGCCTGGCATGTGCTAAGGATGCTGCACCTGAAAGCTGTTTCACTATTCTTATCTGCTTCTCAGGACAGAGCTCCGGCAGAAAGCAGGCCATTTGGGACCCTTCCTCCCAGACCCCCAGGGCAGGACACCTCCATGGACGACAACCCTTTCGGCACTCGAAAAGTCAGATCTTCCTTTGGCCGGGGCTTTTTTAAAATCAAAAGTAACAAGAGAACAGCAAGTGCACCAAACTTGGGTATGTACGGCCAAAATACCTTTGCCCTGATTCTTCCACAAGGAGGAAAAGAGCAGTGTCTTCCCTTCCCTTATTCCCTCATTCACTGATTCCTTTCTCTTTCTCAGAAACGAAGGTGGATGACTTAGGGGGAATTTAGCAAAAAATGGTTCAGTGGATTTAATTTAGTGTTGTGAAGATATATAGACTCTCACCCGGCTCTCTCCTGTGGTATAAACTTAGTGGAAAGACCTAAAATCATGATTCCCTTTGACTTCATCATGGAGTTTCCCATCTATTGTGACAGTGGATAAATTAACATTGACATTGAGCCTGTGTGTAACATCGGAAGCACGGTGTGCCGCATGCCTCTCCTCCACGGTGTGTATTTGGTGAGGAGGAGTCTGATCTGTGTTTCATTTTGTCATCTCTGTGTTCTCTCCATTGGGCTGCGTGTGATTGTGTGCGTTGTTGGGATATCTGAAGATCGTAAACGAAGTGCCAGTGCACCCACCTTAGGTATTGTACCCCTGCATGCCAGCCTTCACCAGCACTGTGCTCCAACCCAATCTAATCCCTGCTCTTGGCATCTGTGATCTCTAGAAAGCGATCTGACAGCAATCAGAAAATGTAGTTCTCTATTCCAGAGTGTTCTTTCCACCTTCTGCTGAAAAGGACTCTGTAGAGGCTTTGCTTCCAAGCCTAAACGCTGTTTTAACCAATGCTAGTAACACTCACTGTGTGAATAGCTTTGAGAGGACCTAGATGTGTGCAGCATTCCTTAGAGTGCAGGGCAGGAATGTCCTGGCATTGTACATTGCAGCTCTTTCAGCCTTGAAGTGCGTGTTACCACACACTAACTCCCAGGTCCTTGCAGTCCATTCTCCATGCTTACATTTCTCCCAGCCTCCAAAAAGAATTTTTTTTAGCCATATAAGGAAGTTTATAGAAGACTTGGAATATTATAGTTTTAGGCTTACTTCTCTTAGGGGAACATTCTTCTGACGTTTTATTACTTTGAAGATGGAGATAATATTTAGTGATGACAGAAGCAACTTTACTTGATGTCTGAGGCGTTACCCCACAAAGTGATTTTAGAAAAGAGGCAGCTTAGTTTTCCTCTTTGTAAGGCAGGGCACAAATGGGGAGAAAAGCTCTCAAAATAAAAAAGAGAAATATGGTAGCTTTAAGATGAGAATAAGCTAGGCAGCATTTTCAGGGGCACCTGTACCCATCATGGTTGAAGGATTTGAATTGGGAAAGTTCCTTTGGGTTTTTCCAAAAAGTGCTGTTACCTTGTATAGATATCAACCTATCTATTCACGTGGACCAGCAAACAGGACTTCTCTCTCTATAGAGATAAATGTCTAGAATGAACACTGGATGCATAAAATAAAGTGATCTATTCAGACAACTATTTTCAAATAGTTTTTTTTTTTTTTGCATCTTTCTTAGAAGAACTGTTTTGTTAATGCTAAGAGGTAAATGCTGCTTATTATAACCTATAATCACAGCTCTGCTTTGTAGAAAAATCAACTTTCTGCAACTTGTAGATCTTGCTGAAACACTGTTCCTGTGATTTTAGTACAACTTTTACTTTCCTTTATAAAGTATAAAATCTCACAGTGAAGACAGCAGTAGCCCTTGTGTTTGCTAGTATGGGATTGTCCACTAAGGGACAGCTAAAAGAACTGAAATAGTTAATGCTTGGAGATCTGAGAGTGGCAACTGTGGGTGTGATTCTTTTAAGGTAAAATCAACAGGCACTTATTTTATGTCAAAAGAAAAATTATGCGTATCCAGTTCACTCTTCTCTCAGTGCCTAGGATTTAATAGATTGGAATACATTTCATAAATAAAGAATTGCTGGAACTGGGTAACTGATTTGATATAAATGCCAAAGGAGAAGGAGTAAAAGGAAAATGACAGAGTTTGAGCTATAGTAACAGGAACAGTATTAGTTAATATTAACCAAATAACAAATAAGAACATTTAAGAGAGGAGGCCAGGCGAGGTGGCTCACGCCCTTAATCCCAGCACTTTAGGAGGCCGAAGTGGGTGGATCACCAGGTCAGGAGTTCAAGACCAGCCTGACCAAGATGGTGAAACCCCGTCTCTACTAAAAATACAAAAATTAGCCAGGCGTGGTGGCAGGTGCCTGTAATCCCAGTTACCTGGGACACTGAGGCAGAGAATTGCTTGAACCCAGTAGGCGGAGGTTGCAGTAAGCCGAGATCGCACCACTGCACTCCAGCCTGGGCAACAGAGCCAGACTCTGTCTCAAAAAAAAAAAAAAAAAAAATTTGAGAGAGGAAAAGACTCTCAGGGAAATTGGATGAGTTTGTGAAGTCCCAGATGTCCCGACACACTGAATTGGGAATATCACAGGCATTTAGATACAGGACCTGGAGAGAGAGATTGGGCCCAGAGATTTTGATCCACTAGAGGGCGCTTAGAACAGAATCTTAAAGTGGCATGGGGGAAGAAAAAAAAGCAGAAGTGCTACAGCAAAGACACTATCAGATGACAGATGTAGGAGTGGTCATGTCAAGAAGCCAGAGGAGATGATTTTGAAGGATGTAGGAGGTAATCAACAGTACCACGTGCTATGGAAAGATTGGGAATAATTCCATCATGAATTTAAATCACTCAAGGAAAGAGTGTAGCAATCCTATCACCCTCTTTTAATCTCCAAAGGGCTTATAATTTTATTAACTTTAAACACAGTAAACTATGGAGCAGAACATATATGTATATTCCATTTCTAATATTTATAAGGTGCTCTTTGTAAATTACTGATTTATAGACCAACAGAAGAATTCTTAATAGTTCTAGAACCAAGAAGATTAACATCTTATCATGTTCATTCCATATTTTAAAATTCGTTGTCTGTATTCTGCTCTTGGAGTAGCTGAAACAGAAAAAGAGACAGCAGAGCACCTAGATCTGGCTGGTGCTTCTTCTCGGCCAAAAGATTCACAGAGGAACAGTCCCTTCCAGATACCACCTCCATCTCCAGATTCCAAAAAGAAATCCAGAGGTATCATGAAACTCTTTGGAAAGTAAGTAAAGCAGTGAACAAGTAGAGTGGGCCCTGTCTTACATGTTGCTTAAAGTGGCTGGAAATGGGTATGGACTTGTAAGGCCTTTGTATTCCTCTTATGGAAGGAAGTTTGGATTATGATGTGGGATTTATTAACTCATTGGGTCTTAGTTAAAGTTTAAATTTAAATGTCTATGTTAATGACACAAAGAGGATTAGTTCCAGTAGCTGCACTAGTTAAAAATTCTCTGATTAACAAGCCTAAGGCCTCCTCAGGTCTAATACTGGCCATGTGTGTTATGTCTTCTTCAGACTTAGGAGAAGTCAATCAACTACGTTCAACCCAGATGACATGTCTGAGCCTGAATTCAAAAGAGGAGGGACAAGGGCAACCGCGGGACCCCGACTGGGTTGGTCTCGAGACTTGGGACAGTCTAACAAGTAAGAAGAGCCAACTGATAGACTTTTGCATCTCTACCAAGCATCATAGCCTCATGGGTCCTGCAGTGTTAGTACTATCATTGGGTTAAACAAAGGCATTGCTTAATGCTGTGCCTAGTGAAAGGGGACATCATCTTTAGAGCAGTGCAATTTGTCAATGGTTGATGAACATACAGAAGGTGAGGGCTGTGTGAACTAGGGGAGAGGCCAGAGCTAAAGTGTCAGCAGCATCTGTGTTAGAGTGGCTCTCAGACTTAAATTTTACATAGATGGTAATTATAAGTACTCTAAAGCATAGCTTTGGAAAGATGGGATATTTACATGAGAGTATGTTCTAGATCAGACCACTTGGATTTGCTTTCTAGCCTTACCACTTTCTACCAGCTGGGTGACCTTGAGCAACAGCTTCCAGGCCCTGTGTCTCAGTTTTCTCATCATCAGAATTAGTGCCTACTCCAAAAGCTGATCGTGAAGATTAAATAAGTTAATATGTGTTAAATATTTGGCAGATAGTAACTACTCAAGAAACATTAGTATATAACAGAATCTATGAAAGTATGAAAGTACTTAAAGACAAAAATTCTATCAGAATCCGTATATTTATCAGGACTATATAATATTTTATTCATTAAGATTCTAAGAACTGCTCCGACACTCTTACCAAAGTTGAGGGCTGGCTTAGAACTACTACATTGACTCACTGTGCATAAAAGGGTGGGGTTGGCAAACATAAAGTACAAGGCATTGATACCAAATATTTTAACAACCAAATATTTTAACAGTATAATAGACTAGAAACCCTTTAAATACAGCCCCTCCCATACAGGTGGAACACTGGACATAGGTTACATCAAGGAGGAAACCCTCTTTGGCCTTCTTCAAATACCAAACAGTTTCATTTGCCATATGTTGTCTTTGAACACAGCAGAGCTCCTTGTGCTATTTTAAAAAAGCACATTCATCTTCCCCTCCGCACCCTGTCCCCACCCCGGAACAAGAACACTATTTGTGTATCTAAGTAAAAGAAAACAGGAATTTTGCTTTGATTGTTTCCTACACTTAGTGACAACATATTGCCCTCCTCTCATTGGTTACCATATGGAAATAAACCATAATTCTGCTAAAGTTAGTTCAAATTAGACTTAAGTTTCTTTCACTCCAACTGAGTTTCCTGTTTGGGAATCCAGTCTTCAAACAACATTGGTTGAAACTGATACAGTGACTTATGTTTTTCCAATTTAGTCTTTTTCTGTAGAACTTGTTCTTGCTCTGTCACATTAAATCTTTTGTGGTTTCGTTTGAAATGAGACAGTGGTCTTAGAAGATAACTTTCAACTCCAGTACCAGTTGTTCCTCCAATGTATACTAAAAATGAAGCTTTTTGTGGTCAAATGTGTATCACCAGGGAATGTCCATGTCTATTGAATGTATAGTTGTTTAAAACTCATGATAAGCCACAGGATTGGCTTTGGATTATTTTTCATGCAATTACTCATTTTCCTGTAGTGACTTGGATATGCCATTTGCCAAGTGGACCAAGGAGCAGGTTTGCAATTGGCTGATGGAACAGGGCTTGGGCTCCTACCTGAATTCTGGCAAGCACTGGATTGCATCTGGCCAAACGCTTTTGCAGGCTTCTCAACAAGATCTAGAGAAGGTGACTGCTTCTCTATTTTGTTCCCACAATGGATACTGAGAAGAAGACAATGTGAATGTAGGGTTGTTTTATAGTCCAGAAAGGGCCATGAGTGAAGCCAGTAAATACTCTCTAAATAAAAATTTGGGTTTTCAATTGCTTCATGCTTTTTTTTTCTGATGGTCTTGGGAGGACCTGGTCTTGATGATTCCTTATGGAACACTTAAGCCATTGGGCATTTTAATGAAGAATAATTACATAAGCATAATTAAGTTCATATTTCTCAAAATCATTATATGGCTTTATCATTGGCCTATTTTCTCAGTGTAATATATGCAATGCACTTTGCAAAAGGAAAAAAAAAGCACCCTACAATTTATGTCTAATTATTTAACATTTCTTCCCAATTATTTAATATTTTGCACAAAATAAGAGTCAAATTCTTTTTATGCATGCTACAGTTCCTAGCTTACAAAGAAAAGGAGTCACTAGGGAATGCCTAACACACCCCTAAGCTAATTGTGGTGGTCTTGGCTTTTCAGGGACCTTCGTTCTACAGCACTTTACTAGCGCAAGTTAGGATTGTAATTTAGTATTGAATTGGGTCTTTAGTGCTAGCTTCATTTTGGAGAAATTTGCATCCTTTGCCAGTGGCACCCAGCCTATATAGATAGAATTATAAAGTCAATGTTTAATGTTTATTGTGTCAGGAACTTGGAATCAAGCATTCACTTCATCGAAAGAAACTCCAGCTGGCACTCCAAGCCCTGGGATCTGAAGAAGAAACCAATCACGGGAAGCTGGATTTCAACTGGGTCACTAGTAAGAAGTTTTTATTCTAACAAAATGAAAGAATTATATACATAGCTGCTTTTTCTTTTTAATCACAAGAACAGGTGTTTTGTGGCATGGTAGCAACACTGGCCTCTCTCTTTTAGGATGGTTGGATGACATTGGCCTCCCTCAATATAAGACCCAGTTTGATGAAGGACGGGTTGATGGTCGAATGCTACATTACATGACTGTTGTAAGTGACTCACTCCTGGGGTTTGGGGGAGGAAATCTTTTTTCTCGAAAAACACAGAAATTGAGTAAGCCAAACACAGTGTAGTGATTACACCAGAGTTTGAAGCTGTTGCTTGAGCTTGAGGAGAGTGGCGGGCATATTTCCTGTGAAGTTGAAGTTGTAGCATTTGGTGATTGTGACTGAATAGCCTTGGGATAATTTGAAACCCCAATTTAAGCTAAGTGAAGCCTAATTTAAACTAAGCTCTCCAGAAAGTTGATTTTATATGTAATACATTCAACAATGTAAACACTGAAGTGTATACTTTGAATGGGTACATTTTATGGTATGCAAATTATATCTCATAAAGAGATATATATATATATTTTTATTTCTTTTGAGATGGAGTCTTGCACTGTCACCCAGGCTGGAGTGCAATGGCACGATCTCAGCTCACTGCAAGCTCCACCTCCCAGGTTCAAGCCATCCTCCTGCCTCAGCCTCTTGAGTAGCTGGGACTACAGGCCTATGCCACCATACCCAGCTAATTTTTTTGTATTTTTAGTAGAGACGGAGTTTCGCCATGTTGGCCAGCTGGTCTCAAACTTCTGACCTCAAGCGACCTGCCTGCCTCGGCCTCCCAAAGTGCTGGGATTATAGGCATGAGCCACCACGCCCAGCCTAAAGATATTTTTTAAATAGAATATAGAGTTTTTAAGCCCAAGCTGTTTCTAAGTTATGGGTTTCTATGTGCAGTGACCATTTGGAAGAGCCCACCCTTTTGACCTGACATCTTCCAGGACTTGTCTTCTCCCTACCTTTCCACTCTGGACAACTGTTACCTGAAACCCTATCACCTGTGTCACTTCAGCCCGGTTCTGCTACAGCAGGAGTTAACTGGGGTTAAAGGAGGCAGGAGGAAGGCTAGACTTCCACTCTGGTTCCTTCATTATTGTACACTTCTGGCCTTCCAGCCAGTGTGTAGGACTATTCCCTGCTTGACAGCAGTGGGAAAGATGGATTCCAGGAGAACCTTGTTTTAGGTTCCATACCACTATTAATATTCTACTTAAAATCCTCTTATTTTATTTTATTTATTTTATTTATTTTTAATTTTTTTTATTTTTGAGACGGAGTCTCGCTCTGTCGCCCAGGCTGGAGTGCGGTGGCACGATCTCGGCTCACTGCAAGCTCCCCTTCCTTCCTGGGTTCATGCCATTCTCTTGCCTCAGCCTCCTGAGTAGCTGGGACTACAGGCGCTCGCCACCAATGCCCAGCTAATTTTTTGTGTTTTTAATAGAGACGGGGTTTCACCGTGTTAGCCAGGATGGTCTCCATCTCCTGACCTGGTAATCCACCCGCCTCAGCCTCCCAAAGTGCTGGGATTACAGGCGTGAGCCACCGCGCCCGGCCATGTTCTACTTAAAATTCTTTTATTCATTTATTTATTTCGGAGACGGAGTCTCACTCTGTCACCCGCGCTGGAGTGCAGTGGCGCAACCTCCACCTCCCGGGTTTAAGTGATTCTCCTGCCTCAGCCTCCCAAGTAGCTGGGATTACTGGTGTGCACCACTGCGCCCAGCTAATTTTTGTATTTTTGGTGGAGACGGAGTTTCGCCATGTTGTCCAGGCTGGTCTGGAACTTATGACCTCAGGAGATCCACCTGCCTCAGCCTCCCAAAGTGCTGGGATTGCAGGTGTGAGCCACTGTGCCCAGCCTAAAATTATTTTATTTAAACAGCTTTTTGTGAAGTAGGCTTTAGACCCAACTACCCTAAGTATAATCTTTTTCAAATAAGTGGAAAGTTTTAAACAGCCAACTTAAGTAGGCATTTCTCAATATCAAAAAAGTTGGAGTTCAGTTCATGGATTTTTCTTCTCTATCATTGAACCCAAGCCCCTTACCTTGATGGGCACATCATGTAAACCTGCATGAAATAATACTAATATTTGTAGTATGTTGCACGTTTACTATGTGTCAAACATCCTTTTAAGCATTTTGCTCATATTAATACCGGATTCTCAACAACCCTTTTAGTTAATATTACTAATTTTATTATAGTGTGTAATATATATTAAAAAGGTTTTTAAACTTTTTATTTTAAAATAATTTTAGATTTACGGAGGAGTTGCCAAAGATAGAATTCTGTATACCTTTCACTCAGCTTCCTCTAATGTTAACATCTTACATAATCATGATTACATTTCTCAAAACTAAGAAATTAATGTAGATGTTAATACAGTCAACTAAACTGAAGACTTTATTCACATTTCACCAGTTTGTCCAGTAAGATCCTTCTTCTGTTCCAGGATCTAATCTGGGGCACCACATTAAAACACACATTTTGTGACTTAGGACTTCTGGGGTCAAATTTTCCAGGGTCATTTACTCTTTTATAGCCATTTCATATATGCTGCTTGTGATTTTAAGCTTGAATTTGTTCACATATATACTATATAATTATATAATACTATATATACATAGTATTATACACACATATGTAATACTATAGATACACAGAGTATGTGTGTATATATACATACATGTGTGTATATATACGTACACATATGTGTATATGTATGTGTGTATATATGTGTATGTGTATCTACATATACACATACACATATACTCTGTGTATCTATAGTATTATAATACTATTATTATCCCTACTTTTTTACATGTATAAAGGAAGGAATCCAGATATTGGGTAACTTGGTAACCAACTTTCCACAGTTAGCAGTAGAAAGTCGGAGAGAGTTTGAACTCAGGCTGTTTCAAGATCCCTGCTTTTAATAGCTCATAATTATGACTAGAACACATTCAGTAAATATTTGCCTCCCTATCTAGGTGTGAGTATGTTCACCCTGAGAATGTGAACAAATTCAAGCTTAAAATCACAAGAAACATCTGTGAAATGGCTATAAAAGAGTAAATGACCCTGGAAAATTTGACCCTAGAAGTCCTAAGTCACAAAATATGTATTTTAATGTGGATTAGATCCTGGAACGGAAAAAGGACTTTACTGGACAAACTGGTGAAATGTGAATAAAGTCTGCAGTTTAGTCGATGTTATTATCATCCACATTAATTTCTTAGTGTTGACGAATGTAATCATGATTATGTAAGATGTTAACATTAGAGGAAGCTGAGTGAAATGTATATAGAATTCTGTTCTATCTTTGGCAACTCCTCCACAAATTTAAAATTATTTTAAAATTGAAAGTTTTTAAAAATCCAGAATTAAGAAGAAAATCACCCATAAAGTCTGTTTTGATATAAAACTGTCTCTGTTTAAAATCCTTCAAAGTATAAAGAATTTCAAAAACAATTAACATTTTAATCACACTGTAAACATTGTGCTTTCAGATATTTTTGAAGCTGATAGACTAGTTAGATGAAAATAGCTCACACTGAAATGTTTGCAATGGGTGTCTCAATTCTAGATTAAAATAAGCACTTTTTCTAACATATGTTAAGATGCTACTTTTAAGAAATTACTCCAGAAAAACTTCAGGAAATAATTTTTGCCCAGTTAGTAGCCGCAAGGATATAAACTGATTAATATTTTTATTAAATATTTCTGTAGTAGATTGCATGTTTTTCTTTCTTTCATGAGAAATGTTTTATCAGAAAGGTGTGTCTAAAATGGATGTTTTCCTTGTTTATTTTCTGGGTGTGTTCAGAAGTAGACTGGTGCTTATCTTAACACTGCCCCTAATATCACCTTCTTCTGAAATAATTTGTTTTGGTGTGTTTGGTATATTTGAAAATATTTCCAAGAGCTACAGACTGGTGAAGATTCTTCCTTGAAGGGAGGGAGGGTTGACTGGTTATAGATAGATGGATGGATGGATAGATAGATAGATAGATAGATAGATAGATAGATAGATAGATAGAGAGATCTAACTTATAACTTCATTTTTATTCTCTCTTAACTCTGACCAAAACCTTTGCAGTGATTGATATAGTTTTGCCAAAATTGTTCACAGTGTCTGCTAGATAAACCATAATCATCTAGAGCTATTCAATAGCAGACAAGTCTTTACTAAAAAATAATCTAGAACTAGAGAATTATTAAGGTCAGGGAGTAGTATAACAAGAGCACTGTTCTGATTTTCCCCAAAACTATGACGTGCTTTAGTTCAGAAAACCAAGCCTTGGCTAGGAACGGTGGCTCAGGCCTGTAATCCCAGCTCTTTGGGAGGCTGAGGCCGGGGGACTCCTTGAGCTTATGAGTTTGAGATAGCCTGGTCAATATACTGAGACCCTGTCTCTCCAAGAAAAAAAAAAAAAAAAAAAGAAAGCCAAGCCTTGATCATGTCCGCCAATAAGCATCATTTGCTCTTCGCTGTCTGCTGAAAGGAAAGAGAGAGGGCAGTTTAGCCAATGCCTAAGTGCTTTATCCACAGATAAAGTTCTCAAAACTAAAGAGGAAAGAAGTAAATTCCCTGTTTGTAGTATGTGCAGATCAAGTCAAATCAGATCACCTCTGGTAGTGACCCAGCAAGTGCTTGTCAAACTGTGGTTTTCAGAGCCCTGGGATTCTACAGTCCTATCTCAGAGCATCAGGAAGAGAGAGAAACAGGTGGAAGGCAGCTTCATTGGCAAAAAATACTAATTTGGGGTTTTGGGGAAGATTTTGTTCCAAATGGGAAGGTGGGTTCTGACAAGCCCTTGGGGCATATTGGTTTGAGGGGCTCTTCTCCGTTTACTCCAGTTTTCTGAGATTCCCAAGAATGTCCCCCTGCTACAGGCCAGCACAGTGAACTCCCCCTTTTGTTCTTTTTCGCAGGATGATTTACTGTCTTTGAAGGTTGTGAGTGTGCTACACCACCTCAGTATCAAAAGGGCCATCCAGGTCCTGAGGATCAATAACTTTGAACCAAACTGTCTACGGAGGCGGCCATCTGATGAGGTAGCATTTTAAGATTGAGGTTTATAAGCATGCACTTCCCAGGCATGGGACTGTCCATATGTCAAAACTAAGAGCCATTTTTCTTGGAGCTTGCAGGAAAAGCCTTAAAATTCAGCCTCATTTACTTTTTAGGCTTTTTCTGTATTCCTTCCTTTTCTCTCCATGATGGTTCCACTTGTATAACTAAAGCTAAGGGTTCATTTTCAGTTATGCTTCTTCCTTTTCTTGGGTGTATTTTTTTCCTGATTCCCTAATCCACAGAGATAAATATCACTCTAAAGACTTCCTTTTCTGGCCAAATATAATGGCTCATGCCTATAATCCCAGCACTTTGGGAGGCCAAGTCAGATGGATCACTTGAGCCCAGTAGATCAAGACCAGCCTGGGCAATATAGGTAGACCCTGTCTCTACAATAATAGTAATAAAAAATTAGCCAGGCATGGTGGGTGCACACTGGTGGTCCCAGCTACTCAGGAGGCTGAGGTTGGAGGATCTGCCTGAGCCTGGGAGATGGAGGCTGCAGTGAGCCCTGATTACACCACTACAACTCCAGCCTGGGTAAGAGAGTTAGACCCTGTCTTAAAAAAAAAAAACAAAAAAACAACTTTCTTTTCTAAACCAATGCTTTATTAGTATGTAAGAAAACTTGAAACACAAACTATGACAGAAATTCTTTAAAAGAGAATTTTTCCCTTTATGCATTTAGTGGGATGTTGAGTAACTGTACTCCATGGAGCAGACTTTTTAGACAGAAAATGCAATTTAATACTTAGGATCTTGGTTGTGTGTTCCCATAGAATACCATCGCCCCATCAGAAGTTCAGAAGTGGACTAACCATCGAGTGATGGAGTGGCTGCGCTCCGTGGACTTGGCAGAATATGCCCCCAATCTCAGAGGCAGCGGTGTCCATGGTGGGCTCATGGTAAAGCTCTGATTTAATTTCAGATTGACTTACTTTGTTTCCTTTAGTCTAGTGAGTAGGATAGTATCAATTTTTGCTTATCATAATCCTAAAGTCATCTGACGCAACCCTCCTGCCCTATTTCTAGTAAATCTTTACTTTCAGAGTATTTGTATTGATATCTTATAACTCTGGATTGAATTTAAAGCCAGTTCTCTTTTATTGCCCTCTTTCATGTCAAATAACATGTAGCTTCTTCCTCTCATATGATCATGTTTGAAAACCCCTGCAAGGATGCAGATTGTATTTCTGCACATTGATATTGCATAAGGAGTTGGCTGCCACGGACAGCAGCACCCCAGAGAGGTAGAGGACCGATATTGGGATGCCAGAATCCTGGATTTCAGGACCAGCTCTATCACTCACTAGCTTGGGCAAAATGGAGAAAAGATATGTAAATTAAAGATCAAAATCCATATGGTGTCTACCTCACCAGGCTGTTGAGAGGATCATTGGAGATAACCTAAGAGAAAGAGCTTTGCAAATTATAAAGCACAATACAAACATGTATGATTTGTGGTGACTTTTGACAAGCTTATTTTTTTTTTAACAGGTTCTAGAGCCTCGTTTTAATGTAGAAACAATGGCTCAGTTATTGAACATCCCACCCAATAAGACTTTGCTGCGAAGACATTTGGCCACTCATTTCAACCTTCTGATTGGGGCTGAGGCACAGCACCAGAAGCGAGATGCCATGGAGCTGCCGGATTATGTACTTCTAACAGCTACTGCCAAAGTGAAGGTTGGTTCAGGCTCATACAGTTTAATAATTGCTTGGCGCAAAGGCAACATTTTGTCTGTTACCTAGTTATTCTGTTTTCTGGGGTTTGCTAAGTTTTGTGGATGTGTTCCTTACCAGCAGATGCAGGAATCATCAGCGCTTAGTTGTCTTGGGAGAAAGATGTTGGCCAAGAGACAGTTCACAGATAGCAGAGAGCTTTATTGAAGGGAAATAGGGAGCAAAGAGCTTATTGTAAGAAAAAAAAAAAAAAATACAGGGGCTGATCCTGCAGGGAAAACAACAGGGTCGCAGTAGCAATGTTTATGTAAAGGGACAGTACACTCCAAACACCAAAGCACAGCGGGCGGCTGAAAGAGAAAGAGGCCAGGAGTTCTGCGTTGGGTTTTTATGATGTCTAGTTTTTTCTTCAAGCTCTCGCCTCTGTGTTAAGTCCCTGCCTTTTTTATCTCGTTTTCTTGCTCCTGCCTTAAGTCCTTGCCTTTTCCCTGCCTAGTTCCCATCCTAGGCTTGTGGGACCCTCCCTTACTATAGTTGGTGCGCATGCGTGGGCTGGATGTTGGCTGCAATTCTACCTAAAGGCTGCATTGCTCATTCCCGCTGCCCCCAGGAAGGTTGTATAACAGTCAAATCTATACGTACTGTGCCGCATTTCTCTTAGGCATTCTCCTTTGCCCTCTTGCCCTCTTTATCAGCATGCAGCTAGCTAAATTCTGGCAGGTGAACTGCAGAGTGAGTGATTACTGGGCATCTTAAGGGGTGTTCCTTTCTCCATAGGTATTTCTCCTCCTCTCTGCTCATATGGAGCATGCATGTTTTGGGTGGTTTCTGGGGTGTGAGATTTTCTGGACCTCTCTTTTCTCAGGGGCTTCCCCTCATGTCTAGCTATCTGCCTACTCTAACAAGTTGAAGAAGCAGTTGACCCTTGAAGAACATGAGTTTGAATTGCACAGGTCCACTCCTACTCAGATTTTTTTTTTTTCAAGCAAATGTGGAGGGATGCAAAACCCACATCTAGGGAGGCCCGACTGGTACACGGGTACACTGGACTTGAGTATGTATGGATTTTGGTATACATGGGGGGCTTGGAACTAATGCTCTGTGTATACTGAGGGACAACTGAGTATATATCTTTTAAAAGTATAATAATTAAGAGAATGCACCCAGATAGCTCAGTCAGTAGAGCATCAGACTTTTAATCCGAGGGTCCAAGGTTCATATCCCTTTTTGAGTGCTCCCTCTTAGGTGGGCATGGTGGCTCATGCCTGTAATCCCAGTGCTTTGGGAAGCCAAGGCAGGAGGATCATGTGAGTCCAGTAGTTCAAGGCTGCAGTGAGCTATGATTGAGCTATGAGCATGCCACTGCACTCCAGCATGGGCAACAGAGTAAGATTCTGTCTCTAAAAAAATGATAATGAACACATAATACTGGCTTCCGCAATCTATGTATTGGCAGTGCAGAGAGTCCATAACTTGGGTCCAAATATTGATTGCAGTTGTTCTGTTTTTATAAATCAAGTATAGAATAGAGATTTCTCTTGTACAGATTTAGCTTCTCTGGCTTATGATTGACCAGCCTTGTAAATAGGAAAAGATACTTTAAAAATGATTGAAGGTAGGCCAGAAGAGAATGGATATTTCCTAATTTACCTGGATTTATGGGTCATACCAAATTCAGATTACTTTTTCTTCTTTAAAATTAATCCTAGATTAACTCTTCTGAATATGTTATCTCAACCAACTTGTTGGGTTATGAGGTCCTCCAGAAATTTGCGCCAAAGTTCTTTTTAATTTTTTTTTTACCCCCTCTATCTGCCTGAGTATCCAATGACCAAGGTGGAGTTTCTCTTCTAAGTATCACTGAAGTTTCCTCTCCAGAAAATTCTTTTAGCAGTCACCAGTCCTGTTATGGAAGCAAAATAGGCATACAAGATAATTATAGCCTCACCCAAAGAAAAAATATAGTGAGGTCTATTCTATTTTGCTAATCTTCGATTGAAAAACCTTGCAAAATTGGATTCAGCCATGAGAAATCTCATTGCATTAAGTCCTGTCTAATCAAAACTATGAAGCCAGATGCAGTGGCTTGTGCCTGTCGTTCCAGCTACTCTGGAGGCTGAGGCAGGGGGATCCCTTAAGCCCAGGAATTTGAGGCCAGCCTGGGCAACATAGCAAGATTCTGTCTCTAAAAATAATAGTAGTGATGTAATCAAATTATTCTTGCCATATTTTGTTTATCACAGTGACTATTCAGCTAGTTGGCGTGAATAAGAAGAATAAGATTAATTTTCTGAGATTCATTACAAGGGTCATTTATCATTGCATCATTTATATGTCTGGGATGCCCTTTCATTTTTATCCAAATTTAAACATCCAGTTAATTTTCTCTCTACCATGGGGTAAATAATTAAATTACACATGTAGGAGGGAGGGGGCAATGCAAAAATAATTACATGTTATCAGTCCTTGATTGTACGAATTTTATCAAATCCTTTGGATGTTTTTGTTTGCTTTTCTTTTAAAGCCAAAGAAGCTTGCCTTTAGCAATTTTGGGAATTTGAGAAAGAAGAAACAGGAAGATGGGGAAGAATATGTTTGTCCAATGGAATTGGGACAGGTATCAGGAAGTGCATCTAAGAAAGGATTTAAACCTGGTTTGGATATGCGCCTGTATGAGGAAGATGATTTGGACCGATTAGAGCAGGTAAATCCATTATATACCTTTTTTCAAGTGCTTCCATCATTCAGACACTAAATGGGAGCTTTGTATACTGTGTCTGATCGAGGACATCTTCTTCCAATAACTAAAAATACAGGTAATAATAAAATAGTAGTGAACACACAGAGATCGCTTATATGTTCCAGGCACCATCCTAAGCACTTAATGTATACTATGTTTGTGGTAACCTTAAGACATGGAGAGCATTGTTATTCTCATTTTGGAGATAAGGAAACTGAGGCACAGAGAGCTAAGTAACTTGCCCAAGGTCCCCAACCTGTCTCTTTGGCTCCAAAGCTTATGATATTTACCTATATTATGCCATCTCTGTATTAAAACATGTTAGGAATGGACAGGTTATTCTACCTAGCCTTTTCAGATTAAAGTCATGGGACTGCATATTTCCCTTCTAATCAACAATGCTTTGGTACTGTTAGCAAAGGCATTAGACTAGCTGTGTCAGTAAAGTGTCTCTTCTAATTTTTCACTTCCGATTGCAGTGGTGAAAGGAGATTATCACCAGAAGTGTTCTGTTGCTCCTACCCCATTCAGTGCTATTTGCATTATTTCCTCTTAGACTTTTGTTCCTCTCGTTGCACTTTCCCTGAAATTATGAAAACACATATGTCATGTTATGGTTTGTTCTTTGCAGATGGAAGATTCAGAAGGGACAGTGAGACAGATAGGTGCATTCTCCGAAGGCATCAACAATCTGACAGTAAGTTTGTGAAATGAATTGAAAATGTTATTCTATAAATGTCTTTTAACAACCCCAGAGGACCACATGTCTCTTGGAGAATGTGTAGTTCTGAGCTCTTGGCTCTCAGTGTGACTCCCTGTCTCCTTGTTTTCCAGCACATGTTAAAAGAAGATGACATGTTTAAAGATTTTGCTGCCCGTTCCCCCAGTGCCAGCATTACAGATGAAGACTCAAACGTTTGACCGTAGCACCTGGAGGAACATTAGGAATGCTTAGTCTTTTTTCTACTTTCTTTTCCAAACACTCACAGTATATACAACAGGCAGCGGATTGCCTATTGTTTGTTGTTCCAATTTCTGCTGTTGAGAAGTTTAAACAGGAAGCAGGAGTAATGTGCCGATTCCGAAGTGGCCACAAAAAATAAGACACTGGTGAATGAGAGTATAATTGTTTTTCTTCTATTTAATGTAAAAATCTGTGATATATTATATTTAAAGTGTTGCATTTAAGATGAGTATTTTACCAGAGTGTTTCCGTTCACATCCGCAGTATGGAGGATTTGGGGAACAGCAACCAGGATGGGAATGATTTTGTCACATCAGTGTTCACTGGAGCCACCTAAGTAGGACATTATATGATTTCAGAATCAATATGTGGAACTTCTTTAAGCATTCAGTGTGCCCACTAAATGCCAGCCACACCTCCACTTGCCTCTTACTGTCTTATTTTTATATATTTTTCTAAATATATGTATATATACAGTACATAGAAAATAGAACATTTATTTTGTGACCTAAGGACGATGGTGAAAAGATCACGTTTTCTAAACAATCTGGTGATCAGAACGTTCATATACCAGCTGGTTTCTGAAGAAGTCAGAATGATCTTTCTCCATACTGACTTTTAACAATGTTGATCATTGAGGCTAAATTAATATATATGAAATATTCCTTTTTGATGACACCACAAAAATGTTGAACAGTTTAAAAATTTCAACCTTAATCTTGGATCCCTTTACCTCATATGGAAGAACTTGAGGGACATTGGTATACTTTTTTTTTTTAAGATGGAGTCTCACTCTGTCACCCAGGTTGGAGTGCTGTGGTATGATCTCGGCTCACTGCAACCTCCGCCTCCTGGGTTCAAGCCATTCTTTTGCTTCAGCCTCCCAAGTAGGTGGGACTACAGGCACATGCCACCATGCCTGGCTAATTTTTGTATTTTTAGTAGACACGGTGTTTCACCATATTGGCCAGGCTGGTCTGGAACTCCTGACCTCGTGATCCGCCCGCCTCAGCCTCCCAAAGTACTGGGATTACAGGCATGAGCCACCATGCCTGGCCATGCTGGAGTGACTCTGTCACCCATGCTGGAGTGCAGTGACATGATCATAGCTCACTGCAGCCTTGAATTCCTAGGCTCCAGTGATCCTCTCACCTCAGCCTCCCCAATAGCTAGGATTACAGGTGTGTGGCCTCCCACCCCACCCCACCCTTCACACCTCGATGATTTTTCAAAAATTTTTTGTAGAAACAGGATCTCACCATGTTGCCCAGCCTGGCCTCAAACTCCTGTCCTCAAGTCATCCTCCCGCCTCAGCCTTTCAAAGTGCTGGGATTACAGGTGTGAGCCACTGTGCCTGGCTTGAATACACTAACTTGAATACATTCAGAATCACCTCCTCTCCCCAAAATGTGTAGAAATAGTTTTTGAGGAAACCAAAAGCAAAGCAGAAACCTTTACAGTATTGTTTCTTTTCTCTTTGTTAACTATGTCATTGCATCAAAATACTAATAGTCTGCCTAAACATGTTCATTGTACATTTCTCAGGCTATCAATGAATGGAGCTTTTTAAAAAGTTGAATATTTGTCTGAACATTTTATTTCAAAGTTTAAAAAAACAGAGGCTGCAAAATGCATTTTATAATGGCTATTTTGTGATGATAAGATGTAGTTCATGTTTTTCTGTAGCACTGGGCCCAAATATTCTTTGCAAAGAAAATCACTGCAGCAAAAATTGTTACTGTGTTTATTATGTTTGTAGAAATATTAGAAAAATATTCTATCTTTTATTCAGTGCTACATAATTACCCATGGTAGCCAACCCTACAAAAGACAGGTTTTCACAAATTGAGGTGGAGGTGGGCAGTTCAGTATCTGCCATTGGACTTGATTATAAACTGAATTTGAATATCAGTGGTGTTATCTTTTAAGTTGTCAGCAGGTTACCAAGGTATTCATTAAAGAAATTGTAATATCAAATTACTGTTTATTCCTAATAATTGATTTGATGCTAATAATAATTTTCTTTAAACTCTACCATTCATTATGTGGTAACTGTATTGGACTTACTTTATTTGGATTTTATTTTAATGTGACTAGATGTCACCACTTGAAAAAATCAATTTGTTCTTAGAACCTGGTTGAAAATACCAGGAGACTGTTACAGATGTCAAATTTTTTTTTTTTTTTTGAGACGGAGTCTCGCTTTGTCGCCCAGGCTGGAGTGCAGTGGCGCGATCTTGGCTCACTGCAAGCTCTGACTCCTGGGTTCACGCCATTCTGCCACCTCAGCTTCCCAAGTAGCTGGGACTACAGGTGTCTGCCACCATGCCTGGCTAATTTTGTTTTCGTATTTTTAGTAGAGACGGGGTTTCACCGTGTTAGCCAGGAAGGTCTCAATCTCCTGACATCGTGATCCGCCCACCTCAGTCTCCCAAAGTGCTGGGATTACAGGCGTGAGCCACTGTGCCCGGCCCAAGTATTTTTTATTCAGGACAGCATAACCTAACTGATAATATGTAATAAGGTTAAATTTTTTTATGATGTGTTTTATTTACAAAATATCATACACTGCTGGTGTTACCATATGAAAGGAAATAAAGTCAATTGATATTGCTTCATTTTTATTGCCCTTATTTCATTTGCCGTTGTTCATAGTAACAGGCTTTGTTTCTGATATAGAAAATAACACAATCTCTTTATAAACTGCCATAAATTTGTTTGAATGGAGTTTATAACATGTATCAACAGATAGGAATTTGAGGCCTTTGAGAAGATTTTGTAGGAAAAGCAGCAACTGAGCTGGGGAATGAAGAATATGGCAGAAGTAAAAGAAACAAACAAAAAAGAAAATAGGAAAAGCAAATGGAAATGACTCACCTACAGACTGGAAGAAGTTAGTTGTAGAACGAGGTGTATGGATATTTAAAAAACTAACATAGGGCTGGGTGCAGTGGCTCATGCCTATAATCCCAGCACCTTGAGAGGCCAACACAGGAGGATTGCTTGAGCCTAGGAGATCGAGACCAGCCTGGGCAACATGGTAAACCCCACCTCTACAAAAAATACACAAAAATTAGCCAGGTGTGGTGGTATACACTTGTAGCCCCAGCTACTCAAGAGGCTGAGGTGAGAAGATTACCTGAGCCCAGGGAGGTTGAAGCTGCAGTGAGCCATGATTGCGCCACTGCACTCCAGCCTGGGTAGCAGAGTGAGACCCTGTCTCAAAGAACGACAAAAAAAGAACTAATGTGCCATTTTTACTTTTACTAAAACTTGGAAAGAGGAAACATATGTTGGAAGAGATTACCAAAGGTTAAAAGTAGAGTGAATATAACCTAGATGGAACAGACGTTTTGTGTGAAATTTAGTATCTTTAATAAGACAGCAGGAACTGAATGAATACAACACACCCAACTGACAAACAGAGAGAACATGTTTATTTAGCTGTATGTATATACGCTTAACTACACCCAAGGAAGCTGTAGAGTTAGAAAAACATGAACCATTAACAGATGTGACCTCCTTGCAGAACTTTTACTTTGAAAAAGAACTACTCCTGAACCAGATTCACATGTGTGATATTTGGATGCAGAGAAAATGGGGCAGAAAGCATCGCAACAGTTGGTTCTGAAGGACAGCAAAGAGGTGCCCATCGTCTGGGAGGTGGTCAGTGAAGCTATAGTCCATGCAGCTCAGAAACTGAAGGAGTACCTTGGATTTGAATATCCTCTGAGTCAACTCTGCCCAGCTGCAAATACTCTGAATGAGATCTTCTTAATCCATTTCATCACTTTCTGCCAGAAAAAGGGAGTTGATGAGTTGCTGACCACCACCAAGATGACCAAGCACCAAGCCTTCCTGTTTGGCGCAGACTGGATTTGGACCTTTTGGGGATCCGACAAGCAAATAAAGCTTCAGCTGGCAGTACAGACTCTGCAGATGTCTTCACCTCCTCCTATGGAATCTAAACCTTATGACCTTTCCAATCCAGAACCAAGGGTAGAGGAGTCTTCCTGGAAGAAAAGTAGATTTGATAAGCTGGAAGAATTCTGTAACTTAATAGGAGAGGATTGCCTGGGTCTGTTTATCATCTTTGGTATGCCAGGAAAGCCTAAAGACATCAGGGGAGTTGTCCTGGACAGTGTCAAAAATCAGATGGTGAGGAGCCATCTGCCAGGAGGGAAGGCTGTGGCTCAGTTTGTCCTGGAGACTGAAAATTGTGTCTTCATCAAAGAGCTGCTCAGAAACTGTCTGAGTAAGAAAGACGGGCTGAGAGAGGTGGGCAAGGTTTATATTAGCATTCTCTGATTTGGATGTGTATTATGTGACTGGCGTGTAAGAGGAAAAGAAAAAAAGATTCTAATAAGCAAGCTCATCTATTTGCATCATTCCAGCATGGGATTTTTTTTTTTATTTGTTTTCCCATTGATTGAAAATGATTACTGGGATCAAAGTATATTAATGTCACAATTACAGAGGGAGAGAGAAAAAAAGAAAACTCTGGCTCTGCCTATGATTTAAAAACAGTTCAGGAAAAGTTATAATTTAGTTTAATATTTCATTCACTTATTCAATAATAAAAATGGGAAGAGAGATAATAAAGTCACATTTAAAGTTTGATTTGCAAAAAAAAAGTGTCTTTGTTTGAAATAATAAGTCTAGCACTCAAAAGTATAAAATGTGTTTTTGCATCTGTTGGTGGGAAATGGGTAGGGTAAAGTAGTGGGTAGGGCTACAGAGCAGGTTTAATTACATTTGTAACATCAGTTTCAAGCCATGCACAGTGGCTTACGCTTGTAGTCTTAGCTACTCAGGAGGCTGAGGGGGGAGGATCACTTGAGCCCAGGAGTTTAAGGCTCTGGGGAGCTGTGATTGCACCACCGCACTCCAACCTGGGCAATGAGTGAATCCTCATCTTTAAAAAAAAAAAAAATAGTTTTGGTTCAGGACTCCTGAGCAAAACTCACATTGTTCTTTTCCTCTTAACACTTACCTTATTCTGCCTTCTCCCTAGCTGCTGTCCACACTGAGAGGACTTTGATGGGATTTGAGATTCACTTTAGTGTTAGCTCTGCCTATGATTTAAAAACAGTGACCTATAAAACTATTCCTTTTAATAATACTTGTTTAGCCTTTGCAGTAAGGAAAATGTATTCACATATAATAACCATTTTTGCTTAAAAGCCACTGTGGAATTATAACAGTACAAAGAGGAATCACCATTATTTATTGTACTTGTAAGTCAAGTCAGATGCTTTACATATATTAGCGTGATTTTCATGTGTCCTCCATGACTCTAAGAGGTTTCTATTTGCCAAATCAAAGAGGCTAGATAACGCATAACTCTATTAAGTGGCTCGTAACAAAAATGTAAAGTCTGCCCAGTTACAAAGCCCATATTTTACCGTCATGTAAAGAAAATTCCCTGTAAGCCTATAAATTATGTTAAGTAAAAATCAATTAAAAAAAAGAAGAAGAAGAAAAGAAAATTAGTTAGCCAGGCAGGGTAGCTGTGATTCCAACACTTTGGGAGTCTGAGGCAGGAGGATTGCTTGAGCCCAGGAATACAAGACCAGCCTAGGCAACATGGTGAAACCCCATCTCTACAAAAAATACAAAAAGTAATGGTGATGTGTGCCTGTAGTCCCAGCTACTTCGGAGGCTTGGGTCCAAGAGATCAAGGCTGCAGTGAGTCGTGATAGCGCCACTGCACTCCAGCCTAGGCAACAGAGCAAAACTCCATCTCAAATACATAAAAAGAAAATTCTCTCATTTTAAACTACTGGCATTGCTGAGACCACAAAGATGTTCACCTACAAAGATGCTAGCTGGTTGCTGTTGCTCATTTTTCCTCCATTTCCTGGCCTTAATCTGTGGCTACTTTTCCTGTTCTTGAACAACCTGTTTACTGATATACAGCCATTAGAAACATGAGCTGAAGCCTTTCAACTGCATCCAACCTCTTAAAACCATTTCTGTTTCTGACAGTCTTCTTATGGCCTTGGCCCCTTCTGGGTTTTGGAATTTAGGGCATGTTCCTGTGAGGCTAAATTAAGACATATGAGCGCAATGTGGTGTCCTATAGGTATTCCAAAGTAAGAAATACATTTGTTGCTGTGATCTGTATAACTGAAGCACGTTGCAGTGCACTCTGATAGTTTGTCCGACATCAGTTTGTAAAATGCTGACTGCAAGCCACCAAACTGATATCATGACCATCAATAGGTCACAATGCAGACTTGTAAAAACTTTGTCACGGTAGGAGTGAGAGCTTTCGAGTTTAGTTGAGGACAAACCTGCTTAAAATCCCAGCTCTTTTGTTTATGCTTATCCAACCAAACCTCTGTGCTGGTTATTCTCAGTTCAACCTCCACATCTCCTCCCCACCCTGTCTGCCTTCTTCTGGGTTCTGACCGCATCACTCTGGCTTCCATCCCGTGGAGGGCACGAGATCAGAAAGGGGACAGGTCTGGAATGTATTAGCCCAACTCTCCCTGCCTCACTATGACGCTTTGTTCCAGACAGCTCCTGTCCAGCTGGCCCTTCTCTGAGACTCCAGCTCCCTCCCCGTCACCTCTCAGGCCATTGTCCCTTCCAGTTTGCTTCATCATTCTTGGTTAGTTCCTTGCACCCTGCCCCCACCGTGTAAATGTCCTTTTCCCTCAGGTGAACTTGAGGGTGTCATTCGATTTCTTCTGGAGCCCTAATGCCTCCTGATTTTCCCATCTAAAAACGAGATGACAATACCTACCTCGTAGAACTGCTATTCGTTACAAAATTAAGAATAATCGGCCAGGACTGGTGGCTCACGCCTGTCATCCCAACACTCTGGGAGGCCGAGGTAGGTGGATCACAAGGTCAGGATTTTAAGACCAACCTGACCAACATGATGAAACCCCGTCTCCACTAAAAATATAAAAATTACCTGGGCATGGTGGCACGTGCCTGTAGTCCCAGCTACTCGGGAGGCTGAGGCAGGAGAATTGCTTGAACCTGGGAAGTGAAGGTTGGAGTGAGCTGAGATGGCACCACTGCACTCCAGCCTGGGTGACAAAGAGTCTCCGTCTCAAAAAAACATAAAAAATAATTTTAAAAAAATGCTTAGTACAATAATCCAAATCCACTCTTTGATTCTTTATCCAGCTCAGTAAACAGGATCCACAGCGAATATAAAGGTGCATCGTTAACTTCAATCTAGATTTAGGTTTAAGAGCATGCTCCTGTTTTCTTTCCATTGAGCCTGGTGTTCTTCAAGTTAAAATAAGCCTTGCAACATTGGGGAACGTCAACCCCCAATCCCTTCTCTTCAAATTTATCTCCCAAAGAAGTCTTGGGGGAAAGCGAGGAAGGGAGCATTCCTAATCCCCATGATGCCTGCAGCTTCAGGAAAGAAGAAAACGATGTATATTCTCTTCGGCCTCAAGAAATGGCTTTGTTTTCCCTCCTATCAATGTTTATTCACCCCCATAGCCCTCTCCTTGAGGAACCTGGAATAGGAAGAACATAACTGCGGCCTTGTAGTTGCCCTTCATTAGAAATTGGCATGAAAAAGTGTTTAATAAAATGGAGTACTGATATACAAAATTACTTGTCAATTAAAAATGATTTTTTTTTAAAGTAAGTATTGGCAGAGACGTCTGTTTCCTCTTTTTGGTAGTGAGGTCTCCAATAGCATAGAGGCAAGCTCAGCTTTTGCAATTTGGGTTAATATATTGCACAAAAAAAAAAAAAGTATAAATGGAAGATAGATTCATTCAAACATAATTGCTGAGTGCCTATTATATGTAGGACTTGTTCTGTGCCCTGCCAATCCAGCAGTACAAAGAACAAAGTTTCTAGTCTCAGGGAGTTTCTATCTTAATGGTGGAAGACAGACAAACACGTGCAGATGTTTAAATGCATATTTTCAAAACATCTCATGCCTGTAGTAATCCCAGCACTCTGGAAGGCTGAGACTGGCAGATCACTTGAGTTCAGGAATTTGGAACCAGCCTGAGCAACGTGATGAAACCCTGTCTCTACTAAAAATACAAAAATCAGCCTGGCATGGGAGTGTGTGCCTGTACTTGAGAGGCTGAGCTGGGAAGATCGCTTGAGCCCAGGAGGAGGAGGTTACAGTGAGCCCAGGTCCAGCCACTGCACTCCAGCCCGGGCAACAGAATGAGACCCTGTCTCAAATAATAATAATAATCAATTTTAAATAACATCAGGAGTAATGTAAAGAAAAAGCATGATCAGGGAATAAAGAATGTTAGGAGGTGCTATTTTATATTGGGTGGTGAAGGAAGGCCTCAGTGAGGAGGGGGCAATTAGCTAGAGATCTGAAGGAAGACACTGAGCATCAGAGCAGACATTTGGGAAAGAGTGTTCTAGGCACAAAGAACTGCAAATACAGAGGACCTGGAATGGGAGTGGATGTGAATGTGGATAGCAAAGGAAGCTGACGTGGACAGAGCAGAGTGAGCTGGAGGCGAGAGGTGGGAGATGAGTTTGCAGAAGTAGCCAGCAAACTGATCAAGCTCTTCAAACTTGTAAGCTGAAGTAAGGACTCAACTATTCTGAGTGATAGGGGAGAGAAATGTCTTGACTGACCTGTACCTTAAAAGCCTCACTTGAAGCCAGGCATGGTCGCTCACACCTGTAATCCCAGCACTTTGGGAGCCCAAGGTGGGTGAATCACTTGAGGCCAGGAATTCGAGACCAGCCTGGCCAACATGGTGAAACCCCGTCTCTACTAAAAACACAAAAACTAGTCTAGCGTGGTGGCACATGCTTGTAATTTCAGCTACTCTGGAGACTGAGGCAGGAGAATCAATTGAATCCAGGAGGCAGAGGCTACAGTGAGCCGACATCGTGCCGCTGCACTCCAGCCTGGGTGACAGAGCAAGACTCTGTCTCAAATAAACAAACAAATAAACCCTCACTTGATTACTGGGGGGATACCTGATGGTAGAAGAAAAAGAGGAGAAGCAGAACCCAGGTAAGCAGCTAGGAAGCCACAATCATCCAGATAAGAGAAAAAGATGGCCTGGACCACACTGATACAGGAGGAGGTGTGAAGAGGTCAGATTTAGAATATAGTTGAAGGTAAAGTGTACAGCATTTGCTGATGATTGGATGTGGGGTTTGAAACATGTAACAATTAGTTGCTGTATTTCCAAATGTCTTGAATAATAAGAATATATGCAAGGACACAAATATATTTGTCTTTGACTTTCCTTTATCCCAAGAAATCAAAAGATGGAGAAAAGCATTTTAGAGAAACAGTGCCAGGGTACATGATTGACAGACGGGCACTGCATGACTGGGTGCCTCACTGAGGAAAAAGTAACTAAACATGGGCAAAGGAGATCCCAGAGGCAATAATGTCATTATACGTATTCTTTATGCACACTTGTCAGAAGGAGCACAAGACACAGCACCCGGATGCTTCTGTCCTCTTCTCAGAGTGGTCTAAAAAGTGCCAGAGAGGTAGAGGACCGTGTCTGCTAAAGAGGAGAATTTGAAGACGTGGCAAACTCGGGCAAAAGACCCATTATGAAAGAGAAATGAAAACCTATATCCCTCCAGAAAGGGAGGCAAAAAAAAAAAAAAAAAAAAAAAAAAAAAAAAGAAGAGGAGGATGAGGAAGAAGAGGAAGAAGAAAATGATGATAAACAAGTTGGTTGTAGCCGTTTTTTTCTTGTCCATAAAGTATTTAACAAACCCTGTATACCACTCCCTCCTTTTAAAGAAAAAAAATTGAAATGTAAGGCTGTGTAAGATTTGTTTGTAAACATTACAGTGTTTTTTAAATTTTTTTGTATAATTAACAGACTACTGAATGTCTCTTTAGATAGCCCTGTCCTGGTGATATTTTTAATAGACACTAACCTTGCCTGGTACAGAATGGGGGTTGTAATTGGCATGGAAATTTAAAGCAGGTTCTTGTTGGGGCACAGCACAGATTAGTTATATATGAGGATAGTTTTTTCATCTTCATTTGTCTCTGCTGCGGCTTATACGATATAATTGTTGTTCTGCTAACTGAATACCACTCTGTAATTGAAAAAAAAAAAGTTGCAGCTGTTTTGTTGATATTCTGAATACTTTTAAGCAAATACAATTTTGTTTTTAATTGAAAAAAACATTTTAGCCCTTTGCCTTCAGTAAACTGGGCATGAATAGGCCCAGGTGGCATCTTTTAAAGTGTTAAGCAGTAACTGTTCCCATGTTCAATGCTTCTGGGAGGTTACAGTACTCAATTAATGTTTCTTTGGTGTATAGCGACCCCTGTCTGCAGGAATGCTGTGTGGAGTACACTCTCAAGAAGGAGGTGATGTAAAGAATATGCAACTTGGAATCAGATGTGGATTTGAGTTGCAATGCTCATAAGAGCAGAGTCAAGTGGCTTAACTCTTTGTTTCCTTATTTGTAAAGTGGGAATGACTTCAACTACAATCATGCATTGCTTAATGGGGATATATTCTGAGAAATGCATTGTTAGGCAATTTCATTGTTTTGTGAACATAATAAAGTGTACTTACACAGACCTAGACCGTACACACCAAGGCTATGTGGCATAACTCCTAGGCTACAAGCCTGTATAGCATGTTACTTTACCGATAATGTAGGCAACTGGAACACAATGGTAAATATTTGTGTATTTAAACATATCCAAACACAAAAAAAGGTACAGTAAAAATAAGATATGAAAGGTAAAAAATGGTACACTTATATTGGGCACTTACAACGAATGAGGCTTGCAGGACTGGAAGTTGCTCTGGGTGAGTCAGTGAGCGGTGACTGACTGCGAAGGACTAGGACATTATTGTATGCTGCTGTAGACTTCACAAACACTGTCCACTTAGGCTGCGCTAAATTTATAAAACAAAAAAGTAGTTGTGCTATGAGGTCACAATAGCCACAATGTCACTAGGGAATAGGAATGTTTCAGCTCCATTATAGTCTTACGGGACCACCATCATATATGCACAGTGGTTGACTGAAATGTCTTTATGTGGCAAGTGACTGTAACTCAAAGGAGACAAATCTTGTGAAAATATTTTACATACCGAAGTGTAAGCTTACCAAATTTCAGAGAAACTAGTATAAATTGTAAGTATTCATGTTATAAACAGCTGAAAACCATAAATCAGACTCACCATCTTTTTTTTCCAAGTGAAAATTAAAATGTGAAGCTTTTGTAGATTTTAAAAATACTGCATACTCATTTAATTTTTTTCAAGCTGTATGCTTGGTGTAAAAATTCAAGTACAGAAATGGAGAAAGTGAAGTCTTCAGGAGTGTCTCCTCCATCCTCATATCCGCTGCTTCAGATTTGCTGTTGACCATTCCAGAATTTGTATTGCAAAAAATAATTTAAAAATACACAAATGAGATTATATAATCCATAAATGCCTTATAACCTGCATTTTTAAAAACAACAATATATTGTGGACAATTTTCTATGCTAGTAGATTTATATCCACTTCATCCTTGTTAAGGCTGACACCAGTGGTTTTCCATCTTGCCTCAATATTAGATTCACTTGAAGAACTTAGAGTAAACAAAAAACAAAACAAAACCCTATTGCCCCAAACACATCTAGACCAATTAATCAGCATCTCAGAGGGAGTCTATATAATTAAAAAAAAAAAAAAATCTCCTGAGGTTATTCTAATGTTTAACCAGTATTGGGGCCCATGTATCTTAAGTGGTGTTGCAGGATTTTTCTCGGCTCCTTTGCTGGACTCCCAGCAGGTGCGCTCTGTCTACTAGGCCCAGTGCACTCAGCCCCTTGAGGGAGGGAGGGAGCACGTGAGTGAGTCCAGAGTCCAGCCTGCCACTCCACCATCACAGGAGCAAACTTTGTGCAGAGGCCACAGCCAGACCAGTGGTGTTGCCTTGAGGGGAATGCAGTGGCACCCAGGCAAGGGTGCCTAAGACCCCAAAGTCCCAGAAGGGGTTTTAGTGTGCTAATTAGCTTTTTTAGTTCTGCCACCCACAGCCCGATGGATGGCGGCGTGTTAGCAGCTCAGTCGGTTCCTGGCCCCCTCGCATGGAGTGGCTGTCCTCTGCTGACCAGGGCAAAGGGTCAGTGTGACAGCCTTTCTGGGTACCCACACTCGGATCTCAAGCTCTTGTCCAGCATCCAAGAAAAATTAGGTCACCCTTGACAATTGAAGGATAGTGAGGGCGGAGAATTTTACTGAGTGATGAAAAAGCTCTCAGTCGAGAGGGGATGGGAAGGACTGTTCATCTTCCCCTGAGGTCAGAAGGTCTCTTCCCTGAAGTCAGGCCATCTCCCACCTCTACCAACTGAGTCTGGGGTCTTTACAGGCACAGGATGGGGGTGGGTTGGACTGTAGGTAATACCGGAAAAGGCAACATTTGATTGGTTAAATACATTATTCAGAAAGAACCAATCGGGAGAGAGTGAGCAAACAGGAATAGAAGTTCTCACTCTGGTCCATGGGCTTCAGGCTGTTCTTGGCCTGAAGGTCGGGTTTCACGGGAGACCCACCACTGCCTGCTTAGGATTACTCAGGCTCCTGCCTCTATTAGTAGTACTCTGCTTTATATCAACACACCATAATAGATTTAACAAAGACTGTTTTGATGGACATTTAGGTTGCAAGGTCTATACCTATACCTTATATTTGCATATTGTCTACCATACTTGTGAATAGACATACTTTGTTCACCTACTATAAAACAAGTTAGTTTTGAAGGCCAGGTGTGGTGGTTCATGCCTATAATCCTAGCACTTTGGGAGGCCAAGGTGGGTGGATCACTTGAAGTTAGGAGTTCAAGACCAGCCTCGCCAATATGGTGAAACCCTGTCTCTACTAAAAACACAAAAGTTAGCTGGGCATGGTGGCATATGCCTGTAATCTCAGCTACTTGGGAGGCTGAGGCACTTGAACCCGGGAGGTGGAGGTTGCCGTGAGCCGAGATTGTACCACTGCACTCCAGCCCACGTGACAGAGCAAGACTCCTTCTCAACAAAGAAAAAAATAAAATAAAAAAAGAAGTTAGTTTTTATTAAAAGTAGCTTTTTAATGCAAAGGATAAATGCTTGAGGTGATGGATACACCATTTACCCTAATGTGATTATTATACATTTTATGTCTTTATCACTGTAAATCATATACCCCATAAATATATATACCTACTATGTATCCACAAAAATAAAAATTAAAAAGTAGCTTTTATTGAATTAATCCAGGTTTAAATATAATAAAAACCCATTGTAAAAAAGCTGAATATTTAAAATTGTTCTACACAGGATCAGCTACATAATTTGTAGGTTCCAGTGCAAACTGAAGATGCAGGACTCCTTGTTCAACAATTATTAAGATTTTTAAGACAGCAACAGCAAAGCATTAGGCCAAGCACAGGCCCTTCTAAGCGCATATTGTATGTCTATGAAGCCAGCCTGGCTTCTATGATGTGTTAGATTACTTGGTCATAAAGTTTGAAGAAATTTTTTTTTTTTTTTTTTGAGACAGGGTCTCACTCTGTCACCCAGGCTGGAGTGCAGTGGCACTATCTCGGCTTTCTGCAACCTCTGCCTCCTGAGCTCAAGTGATCCTCCCACCTCAGCCTCCCCAGTAGCTGGGACTACAGGCACACATCACCATGCCTGGATAATTTTTGTATTTTTTATAGAGACAGGGTCTTGCTATGTTGCCCAGGCTGGTCTAAACTACTGAGCTCAAGTGATTCCCCCGCCTCAGCCTCCCAAAATGCTGAGATTACAGGAGTGAGCCACTGCACCCAGCAAAGAAAAGATTTTTATCATGAGTGAATGATTACACCTCTAAGATCATTCCCAAGTGAAAAATTATGTAATCTTAGTAACCCCTGTGTGCAAGAGAGTACATGCTTTACTCTTTACACTGCGCAAGACAGATATTTTTGCTTGTTGATAGCATAAATAGCATTACAAATTAATTTTTAACTTTTACTATAGAATGAAACTTACTGTACTTGATGCCAAGGAAAACAATAAGTATTTTTCTGGTTCCTCTAGCTCTGGTCATCTATCCACTTTAGTCTTAGGGAGAGAGTACAACAAAAGAACACATAGCAAGGTACAATGGGGACCTAAGTCTTTAATATCTTGCTCAAAAATTAAGAAATATTGTTAGAGCAGGTAGCTAGTCATGAATGAGCAGGGCAGGAGAGGGCTCCCTTTACATACACACACACCCCCCCCAGGAATTTCAGGCGACCATCAGGTGATTATTAACTGTCTTTCTGAAACAATAAATGGTCACAGCCAGCACCAGGGAAAAGCAGTCTCCCAACAGATACAAAAAACCTGAAACTAGTGATCAGCAGCTTTCCAGTAAGATCTTAGGAGCTGGGTGAGTGTGCACAAGCATGCACATTAAGAGGCAAAATGGCAGAATTTAACTGGTATTTGATATTCTAGGGACATTCAACTGGTAAGGGACGTTCAACTGGTAAGGGATGTTCAACTGGTAAGGGAAGAACGCCTCAAGTAAGCGTGTCTGCAACTCCATGAAACACACTATGCATGCTCCCCTCCAAAATCCTGGCAAGCCACTGTGCATGCAGACAGCCCACCCCAAGGGAAAAATCGAGGCAGAAGGGACACAGACCCCAGAATTATGCCAAAGTATAAAATCGTAAGTCAAAGGTCAAATGGGGTACTTGTCTTTCAAGTCACCTACTTGGTCCTCTTCCCAGTGTATTTTCCTTCCTTTTGTTCCTGCTGTGAAGCTTTTTAATGAACTTTCACTCCTGCTCTAAAACTTACCTGTCTCTCCTTCTGCCTATGTTCCTAGGTCAAATTCTTTCTCCTGAGGCAAGAATTGAGGTTGCTGCAGACCTGTACAGATTTGCCGCTAGTAACAGTATGAATATGATCATACTCCTTTTGTCCCTAAATTTCTATGATATAGGACTTGCACTTTACTAAAATATACAAACTTGCAAGAAAAAGAGGCTGTTGCATTGACCCTACGCTTAATGCCAATGCCCACTGTTTATATTTATGCCTTTAATCATGACTGTCCTAAGAAAAATATTATTGCTCTCATTTTCCTTGAAACTGAAACACAGAAAGGTTAGGTAGATTTGCCCAAAATCATAAAGAACGAGAGCCTGGATTCAAACCCCACCTCCATCTGGTTAAAAAGGCCATGCTTTTGATCTTAAAAATAGTCTGAGCAGAGAACACCATTGGCACATGGGGGCAGAAGGTGGTGTGATGTGTCTACCAGCCAAGGAGTGCCAGCAACCATTAGAAGCTAGGAGAGAGGCATGGAACAGATTCTCCCTCAGAACCTCCAAGTAGCTGGGATTACAGGCATGTGCCACTGTGTCCAGAATTGGTGGGTTCTTGGTCTCGGTGACTTCAAGAACGAAGCCACAGACTGTCGCAGTGTTACAGCTCTTAAAGGTGGCACATCTGGAGTTGTTCCTTCTGATGTTTGAACGTGTTCAGAGTTTCTTCCTTGTGGTGGGTTCATAGTCTCACTGGCTTCAGGAGTTAAGCTGCAGACCTTCCTTCGCAGTGAGTGTGACAGCTCAAAAAGGGGTATGGACCCAAAGAGCGAAACAACAAAACTTCCACAGTGGTGAAACGGACTCCAGCGGGTTGCCACTGCTAGCTTGGTGGTAGCCTGCTTTTATTCCCTTATCTGACCCCACCCACATCCTACTGATTGGTCCATTTTGCAGAGAGCTGATAGGTCTATTTTGGCAGAGTGCTGGTTGGTGCATTTACAATCCTCTAGCTAGACATAAAAGTTCTCCAAGTCCCTAGAAGGTTAGCTAGACACAGCACTGATTGGTGTATTTACAAACCTTGAGCTAGACACAGAGTGCTGATTGGTGCATTTACAATCCTCTAGCTAGATATAAAAGTTCTCCAAGTCCCCACTAGGTTAGCTAGACACAGAGCACTGATTGGTGCATTTACAAACCTTGAGCTATACACAGAGTGCTGATTGGTGCATTTACAATCCTTTGGCTAGACACAGAGTGCTGTACAGAAAAATTCTCCTCCTCCCCACTAGGTTAGCTAGATACAGAGTACCGATTGGTGCCTTTACAAACCTTGAGCTTGACACAGAGTGCTGATTGGTGCATTTACAATCCTCCAGCTAGGCAGAGTGCTTGCTAGACAGAAAAGTTCTCCAAGTCTCACTAGGTTAGCTAGATAGAGTACTGATTGGTGTATTTACAAACCTTGAGCTAGACACAGGGTGCTGATTGGTGTATTTACAATCCCTTAGCTAGACATAAAGATTCTCCAAGTCCCCACTAGACCCAGGAGCCCAGCTGGCTTCACCTAGTGGATCCCGC